CAGCAGTCAGTATTTTTTGCGGTTATTTGAACCCTTCTTTTTGAGAGGGGCTAGCTGCATGTATGCAATACTCGAATTTAGGATGCGCGAATACTGTATACAAGCACGAAAACGTTTTAGCATCGACATGACTGAAAGCCCTGCGTATTGAACACAGGGTTCTTAAACCTTCGGCGACTATCGCACAGCAGAGTGAAACAGTTTTTAAGTCTTGGTCAACGATGGCCTCCAGAATATTGTGTGACTGAAAAATAAGCAGCTCACTGTTATTCACCGTGTGTGTATCTGTACCTCGGTGGCCAATATGTATAATGATCCATTTTGATGTATTTATTGGAAATTTCAAAATTCTAGGACATTCAGGTAATTTCTCCAAGCCATTTCGAATTTCCAGACTGTCACCTCCACTTACTATCGCTCTCCATATCTCGACGTTGGTCAGCATTTAATGGAAGGGATGATGATAGCAGATTAGGAGGGTCATTCACAACACTGACCTCAAAACTGTACCATAAGGAACTCCAGTAAGCACAATTTCCCAGTTAGACAGCTTTCAGTTCACCTGCACTTCTTATTGACGCCTAATTAGGAATTCTCTTATCCGCGTAAATAATTTGCCCTCATTCCCGATATCATATAACTTAGATAACAACCCACTGTGAGGAACTTTGTCTAAGGCCTTACTGAAGTCAACATAGTCTAAATCTTCGAATAACGTCTGGTCGATAAGAAAGCACTGACTTTCACAGGCATCTTATAAGCTACCGAGATATGAATAACCTGATCTAAAGCCATACTGCTTTCCAGAAAGAATCTGGCTTTAATCTAAATAATTAAAAACTTCTGGGTAATCTTTCGCAGAGCTTTAAGAACCTGTAGAATTATGGTCTACTATGATATTAGTACTGCTCTAATAATAGACCTAATCCTAAATTTGTAGATTTGTCATGATATAACAGCCTAATCTATATGATCTTACGTGGAAGTCACACCATTGACTACACCAACTCACTGTATCGTATCAATTACCAATACATGATATAGAACAAGGTTAGGCTAGAGAATGAACAATATATTTAATATGAATAGAAGATATAAGGTAACATTCAGCAGAGACCACGCCTGCATGGCCGAGCCATGCCGTTCGATCAACTCTAGTCTATTCAATTCATTGTTTGCGCCTTCTCCTTTCTTAGGTATTTCTCCGTGTTAAATATTGAGTATCTATTTTCTGAGTAGTCTTGTGTTCAGCTTTGAAGATTGTGAGGTTATGGTCTAATGCCACTTCAAGCCATACTGGTTGGGCTTAGAGGTCGATAGTTCTCGGGTTAATGGCTCGCACATGCTTTGGTTATAGAAATTAGTGTAGCATTCTTCCAGTCCTTTAGTAACTGATCCAGGCTTACAGACAAACTAAAACATATGCTCAAGGGATCGGAGACAAAAATTGTTAGATCCCTTAGTAACCTAAGATGCATTTCATCAGGTTCCATAAATTTGCCTATTTCAAGATTATAAGCAAAGATGGATAGTGGCTAGCAGTGGAATCCATTGATGTTTTAGGACTGAAATTGATCAGTATCTTATTGGCATCAACTCTGAGATGCAGGTACATCCAGCTGACGAGTCCCAAACAGGACGAAACGCGCGTCCTAGATTCCACTGCTAGCCACTATCCATCTTTGCTTATAATGCTTGTAAATTAAGGCAATATTGAGGCATACGCACAGTATACACATATGCCAATAAGAGACTGATCAATTTCAGTCCTAAAACATCGATGGGAAGATTCAAGTAAAAACATTATCAAGTGTATATCAAGATTATTTAGCAGATTGAAGATATGAAAGTCCTTAATATCTGCAGTGCCTAATTTGTAGGAGGATTTGAACTGAATTGGAGGGCATTTCTACAGTATATACATTGATAAAATAGTTTGAGACCACCTGATCTTTACCATAATCGTCATCTATCAATGATCCAGTGTTACTGTCTCACCATAATGCTGGAGTACTTCCTCTTCTCTTAGTCCTTTGGTCTATGCACGATTATGGGTGTTTAGGGTATTCTATAGATTTCTGAACACGTTTTTCTTCGTAAAATCTTCTAGACTTGTGAGGGGTGGGAGCGCGAAAGTTTTGAGTCTCCTGATATTGAGATTTCCTCTCGTTAGTATTCAGTGACTTAAATCTACAGCACATTTTCTTCCTACTAAAGAGGAGGGAGCGAAATTCCTCACTAAAACACGGTGAAGACATTTTCGGGTTTCTTGATGTGGTCCTAGGGATTTGCGGTGCCGTGACTCTTATTTACGAATTTCTGAACGCATCTAAAGTCGTTTCAATTGAGGACTCTGGTTCTAATGACCAATTTACTGAGGATGATGAGTGCATAAAATCTTTTATAGTTGCTTCCCAGAAATTTGATTTTGCTTGAAATGGCACATCCTGGTAATTGAAAACTATGTGAGAACCAAAGGCAAAAAATCATGGTTACTTTTACCTAGGGGTGGGATATAATTGAGATCTGTGGAGTCATCATCACACTGGATCAATATTAGACCCGGTAAGGATGATTTGGAGTCTGGGTTGTACCTAGTTGCTTCTTTCACATGTTGCACTAGGGCACATGTGACGATCGCATCAAGTAGTTTCTGTCTGAAGGAATTCGCTAATAATCCAGTTCTCATATTTTTGGGGTCAGATGTAGGTTAATCAAATTTTCCTCAGATTTAACATAAACCATTTGATGACCAAGTGTTGAAACTGCCTAGAAAGTTCTCATTTACTTTACAGTTTGAACTGTGGAAAACCAAACCTATCAGCGGCTCTTATCTTTTGCATTTCAGGCGGTAACTAACTGATTCTTACGTTCCACTTTAATAGGATATGTTATCAATAACGGTAAATGAGATAGTATTTCCAATGAATGGAGTTACTCCTCTTCCTTTCTGAATCTGAATTCTGTTAGATCTAACTCTTCTGAAACTCTTAAAACCAAGTTCCGTACTGCCTAAAGACCTCATCAGCCACTGTTCTGTGACAGTAATGACATCTAGCTTGGTTAAGTCGATCGGTACACCTAACTATGGTCTCTCGTTGAGCAAGTTCCAAGAGTTTGTGTAACATATCCGAAGGCCATTTAAATGAATTTATGCTTCACCCAAAGTGAATGCTGAACTACTTAACATCTTGTAATGGAACAGACAAAGGTATGATAAATTATTAGACTAAACTCATACTAGCATTTGTTACTAGAGTAAAATATGTTTGCGACTTCAGTTAAGAGAATGAAAAAATAAAGAACGATAAGTTGCCAAAAAGCGATATCAAGACAGTATTCAAAACCCTGGTTAACACGAAAGAGTGGTTCATGATTCAGAGATCGCAAGCGACATACTGACTATCATTTCGAACGAACCGAAAGATAGACAAAATGCATTTGCATATAAAAGGAAATAGAAGCGTATAAGAAACAGATACAAAACAACGCTACAAAGTGGAGATGAATGCATGGAATATTGACACAAATGGGTGCATAATTATAGGAAGGGGCTTAAGTTGTTTACAGTACTTCGTGTTCTTTAATACATCTCATCAATTCTCCTGGCATTACAAAGCCTCCACAGGACTTTAGAAAATATCTACCACTTCTGACTAATGTCTACTTTCTGATGCACTTGGGGTAAATGAGAGTTGTTGAGTCTACCTTTATGGGAGTTCGCTCATGAAGATGAGAATATAGTGGTCTGAATTATATCTTAAGAAACCCTGCATTACGTTTACTGATTCAACACAATGGGTCAAACACGGGAACAGCCTGCTAACTTTCTGGGTTGCAGGGACCTTACTCTATGTAGTGCCACTCAACAGGTTTAATTAATTCCAGTTTTATAGTGGGGTGTCACCCATACACATGTGCTTGGTATAACTGTATGACTGACAGAGTGACATGAACGTCTTTCATTTCAACGCTGATGATATCTTCATCACATAGGCTTCTGATAAATCGCTCCCTCAGGTTTGTTCGCTTTTTCCAAGCCGTAAACCAATGGAGGTATTTATGAGTTTGCACGGATTGATGATTCGGCTTGGCTTCAAATGATTCACTGCGGTTCCAAATTTTTGCTTTACATCTATCACAGAAACACAGTCCTCTGATTATAGTTTCCACTTGTCCATGCCTTCTTTCTTACTTGGGACATTCTCCAACTCTTGTTTAAACAAGAAAGTTTTCTCGCATAGCTATTTACTTGTTTACAAAGGATTGTCAGAAATGACTTCATTTATAATACTCTTTGTGGTTTATCGCTGACTGTAGCTGACATTTGCCACTTATAAAGCGATAGATTGTGATGGAGCTCGTATTCCATGAGAGGACGAAGGGTTGAATAAGATTATTGCACTTTCGACCATACCATGACAATCCTTGTAGGCAACTTTGCGGGGTTCTAGAAATTTTTAAGAAAGATGTTTTCGAATGTCGTCTGGCAAGTAGAAGTTGTTAGTGCGATAATACAGATGTGACTAACTCTAGTGTGATGACAATAAATATCAGCTGTATGGGTTTTACAGCATACGATTTATTTGTAGGCACTAAAAACGTCTAATATTCACAATGCGGACCAGTGCTCTTTTTTTGTGATAGATTACTTGAGGAAGCAATTCAGCACCTAGATTTTGTAACTATTCTAACCAATTAAAAACAAAGCAAAAAATCCCACGCATTGGTTTGGTCGGCGTGAGTTACTGGAATTCTATTCCAACACTTATTGATATATTCAAAACAAAATTATTCCTTCACAGTGTTGCAAACTTCAAGGGTTAATATGGGTCGATAGACCTCCTTTTCCCATTAATGAAAACTTAAAGCTTATATTATCTTTTATGGTGGCCATCAGTAAATTTTTGGATCAAAATAGATGAATTCTACGTTGCGATAGAGAAGGTTTTGTTTTTCGACACCTTAGGCTGAACAACAACCCTTATGATTTGCGCGCAATCTTTAGATTTTCGCACGGTAACACCTGAAAATGTTTCTCCCGTCAGTGCAAATTACTTAGTTGTTGTTATTTCAGTGAATGTTTTTATATGTACTACATAGTACACATAAATACCTTGATATTTAGGTTAATTTATAATATTTCTTCAAGGTGAAGTTATGCACGTGGTGAACATACGTTTGTTCGTACGTAATATATGTTGGGTACGTATATATGGCACATGGTTTTGATAAATATCTCTTCCCATATTACTACAGTACAGTCGTAAGTTTCTGACAATGGATATGAAACTTACGTTTCACACCATTTCAACGTTATCATGTTCAGGTTTTAAGTTCAAAGCTTTAAAAATGGGAAAGTTGAGTGAATTCGCTGATTAGGATTTATGTATATAAATTATCTTTGATACGCACCATACTTCCACTTCTCAGCAAATTGTGAAATTTAACTCTGCGCACTTTGATTAATATTTTAATTTCCAACTAAAAGAATGTCGAATTAACGTTCAGAAAACTGTAGCGAATAACTTATTACCCTAAGAGCTCATAATTGCTTGTTAGATAAAATTATAAGGTGTCTTTTCAATGTGTCAAACCTATGCAATCCCAAGTGTTCTAACTATTCATCATTTTAACATCCAAAAGTCATAAGATTTATGGTTGTTGTCCTAATACGCAAATAAATTATTTAAAAATTGTTTTCTAGCGGCCCTTAGAGTTTTCTTGATGAAAAATCAATGGATTAATTCTCTATTATCAAATTTTTTGGTACTAGTGCTATATTTTTATTTTTCTCTTGATAACAGGAAAATAGCACACGTAAAAATTCGGATTTAAATACCCTTGAATGCATAATCAACTAAGTTGACAGTGGTACATATTAGTAATAAACATTCAAAGTATGGTAGTATTGAGCAGATACAACTGGACTGAAATAGTAGTAGTATTAGATTAATTCCATAATTAAACCTTTTAATTGCCATGAATTCATATTGAAACTAGCATTGGGATATTCAGGAGTTTGGTAGCAATAAGTTGAATCTAAGATTGAATTAGATCGGTGCAATACATATTGTACTGAGGTAACTGCGAAATGTCCAGTGTCATTTAGTTGCTTCTCAGGCAGATCAAAGCAATAGTCAAAAATTATCAACAGATGGGTATATAAATCGACAACCAACCAAATAAATATTAGAGGGATTCACACACAGGGCGTTGAGTCAGTTGCACAACTGAGCACAAGCCAACTAACAGAATGGGATTTATAAATTTGACAGTCACATATTGGGATCCAAACTGAGTTTACAGTCATTTGAATTCAATGTGTTCGTATGAAATTCCATAAATAGTCATCAGTGACCCACAAAGCATTCGTCAATTTGTACCTCGTGATGGGCAGGTGAAAAATCCATCTACTTCCCAGACGGCAAGCATACTGTGCTGGAGTTTCCTGTGTATTTTTCATGTATATCAAACCTGGCTTTTGAGGGCATACATGGAAACATCTCTGTGAATATTAAGACATTCTGTTTGGTGGTGGTGCGCTAATCGTACCCGTGATTTGAGATATTGGTTAACGTACCGAAAAACCATTCCTATTCAGTCACATGTACGTTTTTGATCCTTATTTACAAATTGGTTCCAGTTTTACTTCAATTCCTCCCCTAATTTCTTCCTTTTGAATTATATTTCCTGTGTTTATTTGATCGATTTCATTGATATCAATATTTTGCTCTCTGTTTTTAACCCTACTAACATTCTATCGTGGATATGATTTCACAACCAAGATCGGAGAACATCACTGTCAAATCTTAAATTGTATATGACTAGCTGACTGTAACTGAACCTATATCTTAGTCCACTAACCCGATTTCGTTATGATATGCACACCGTTTCTTGCAGTTATTGAGTGAGGCCAGCTTTCAGGCTCCAGAATTTCATATGATATAGAGTAGTATTAACGTTCTAAAACCAGATTAACTACGAAAATCGTCTTGGTAAACCAGTGTTAACCTTATCTGAATCTGAGATAAAGATTAATTATTATTTGTAACGAGCTGTCTACTTAGTAAATAAACTTTCTAAAGTATTATATATCTCTTTACATCTTCATTTTAATCTACTTGTAAATTTTTTCTCAGAAATTGATTCAAAAACACCAAACGGTTGTCTACGTTTTTTATTGCACTAAACGTACAGTCTTTCAATGAAAATATTTCTTTTTCTATTTGTCCAGTTAACTTGGTAGACCTTTATTAAGAGATATGTGCTTACACCGATTTCCAGAGTGATGCTCAAGTTATCTACAAATGAGATTACAACCAGCTGTTTTGCTTCTTGTCTTTTGGTATGCCTTGCGTGCTTTAGAAAATTCTATGAAAATGATTTCTGTCGATTCAAAATCATATAACCTTTATAAGTGGGAATACATCGGTTTTCAAGAATCTATTATATCACACCTTTCATTTGTGGAGAAAACTACCAACTTTCTTCGGCAATTAGCTGAACACTACACTATTCCTCGAAAATGCATACTAGAAAATGAGTTTATGCGTTACTGGAATGTATCTAGCGTGCCATGGACATACGATAAGTATCTTACTACGGTGAGTTTAACTGAGTTATTCTAAGTTTTCTTTCCTAGTCAATTAACAGTATCCTACTTCGCTGGCATGAAGTTTCTGATGAATGCTATTTGGCTGTGAAGGGTAACCTTATAATGATAGATATACTTTCAGATAAAGCAATTATACCTTTATGTACAATCCAGTTCAACCGTGAATTTTTATGTAGTGACGAAAGCATAAAAGTAAGAAATGACATTTTATTTATGTGACAGAATTTTTCCCACAATTTAATAGGAAAAGCAAAACTATTTCTTTTGACAGGAAATGTGTCTGTCGACACTATGCTCAGTACGTGTTCTTTTTCCAGCCAGTTCAACATTTATTTCAGTTGAGATTATTATACTGTCAAACTGTGGATATCATGATATAGCGATACAAAAGTCACACAGCATTATAAAGGTAAGCTGAGTATCGTAAAGGTATTTTACTGATCAGTATTTTCCTTCCTTACCGGCTTATAGATTGTTGTATGCAGAGGTTTTGTCAAGAAATCCAAGTCCAGTAAGGGTTGTCACTTCTTTATAGAACTTAATCAGAATTCGTTATCACAGGCTCTGAAAGAAATAACCTTTGCTGTACAAATTGAGGGTTCATCCACCCTATATAGAGAGAAAAAGTTGTCAGTAAGTTTTACTTGACTTCACTTTCTAATGGTTACTTCTACTGTCAGAAATAAACATTATTATATCTACCTTGATATGTGAATGAAGAATTTAGAACTTATTTTCACTTATTGCACTTCTGATGGTAATTTTGCGACTTAACTTACCTTTGTGCTATTGAATTAAATGCTGGTAGTCTCTCTTAACACTGCTGAACAACAAGTTAATCTACTTAGAGCTGTGAGGTTGCATATTTTAACCTAGTTCAACGCATTTCAGATTGGGCAGCCGGATGAAATTAATAGATCTCACATGAAGATATGGCCCTAAACTATATGTTTAAACTTGTATGTGGTAACCAAATCACATAATTATTATATTATTATCTTTTATATGCTGACACATCATAACAATTTCATTGCTAATTTGTATGTTTTTTAAGTCATCCTAAGGATGTTTACGATTGCAACTGATCAGCCTCCTTTGGCGTATGTACATCCTGTCACATAGTAAACATCAACTGTGGGATGCAGTTACATCCAACTGAGTAGTCCCAAATACAACAAAATGCATCCTGGACTTCCGTGCTAGCCATCGTTTAACTATGCCTATATTCTGTAATTTGTTTCAATTTTCATGTACTGAAGGGTTCTACTAAATTTGTATTGGTTGCAAAGTGAGGGTCTATCCATTGACATCAAAATAGGATTTCTGTAGCTTCCGTGTTATCGCAAAGCAGGACTCAAATTAGTAACCAGCGGCGTTATCCTTAGCCTCATCTTTTTTTTACTCAATAAATAACACCACCCTTTCATATAAATCAGATTTGCCAGTCTAATTGAATACCAGATACGCAAGACTGACTCACTATTTTAGTTGGTCAGAGTTAATCGCCCCAGGTGTTAAGCTTGCTTTACAAAGAATATTATGTTCGAGGCTTTTTCTTCAGTGTACTTCGTCTGTGACTTACAGTGGAATTAGTTATCATTATCTTTTTCCATTTTTAAACACAATTTGTTTGGTAGCTGAAATACAGTATAAAGCAGTCTTATCAGGTTATCTTTTTTTCATTTTCAGCTTTTGCTGCGTTTAGGATATTTAAGAGAAGCACGAGAGGAAGCTGGAAAAATAGAAGAAATTTTAAACGGAAGCAGTTTAAGATCTTGTTATCTTCAACGACACAATTGTTCTAACGGTTTTAAATATTCCTCACAATCTTTAGTTGCTTGGAGACCGTGGTTCCTTTTAGGTCTATTTCATCTTACCAGTGGAAACCTATCTGTAGCCGCTGAAGATTTTACCATTGCATTTAATTTAGCTTCAATAACCTTGTCAACTGAAAAGCAATTATCAGAATCAATTATGGGATTGCTTATGTATATGAAAGCACTATCACAACACTACACTTCTAAATTACAAGTAGGTCGGTGAATATTTAATCTTTTACGTAAAATAATGTATCATCATTATTTTCTAAGAAACGTTCTAGGATTTCTGTCCACATGGAGTTTGTATTTTCCCTCCAATGTTCCTAGAGTGTTGATAAGTTGGGAAATCTAAAATATGACACAACGATGCTATCAGTTTATCTTCGCACACAGCATAGCAAGTAGGAATCAACTTTAGGAAAGCAAGTAGTGAATAATTACAAAATCAAAAGCCGTTTTAAAGGAAAAGATGAGGATTAAAAAGCTGTCAAACCGACTAACTAACAGTCTCGGGAAACAATTCGTAGGCGAATCGAAAGACTAGAGCATTAATCACAAAGATCCAATAATACGAACATGAAAGAGTAAAAATAAAATAAATAGGAAATAGGTGAAAGCGAAATACTTAGGATTCGAGTTAAAACCAGAAGAAATAGTGAAAGCAATGTAAGAACCCATGATCAACACTATACCTCTTATTTCTATCATAAAACATTTATAAGGCTATATAATGGCAAGCCAAGTTTGAAACATATTGCTTGAAACTTTTAACTGCTAACTTAGACTGCCTATGAACACCAATCAAGAAGCCCAAAGCTTTCTTGGATAGTTCAGACCAAGTCAGAGGTCATATAGAATGTTTTAAAGCTTCTCTAGACTTACTCTATGTAAAATGGCATGTTGAATTTGTACTATTTTTGTGTAATTCACTTGATGTCTATCTACAATTTCTCCAATTGATTCATCTTATTTATTTATCATGAATTTTTATGATTAAATATTTTGAAAGAAAAAGAAAGATGATAATTCACGGGGTGGTTTGTTCGCTTTTTTTTACCAACCTCAATAATTACTCTTATATTCTGTTATTTCAATGCCTGCTACTTTTTGTTAAATAAATTTCTACCGCATTCTCTTCCTATATCTAGGATGCTATGGAATATTCGGTCAATGGTACGCGAAATTACCCGTTTATCATGGACACTACGTTACTATTAGCTCAAGGTGCTGCGTAAGTGAGATTGTAGTTTTAGTTTTTTGGGTAGATCATCACTTCATATATTGCATGATATTAGCATATATACTTACATACTTATTTTGAATAACTTGGGCCGTATTACGTACCAATTATATGATTTATTAGTAGTCCTTCGAGCATCTGGTTTGAAAAATTGAGTTTGTATACTTTACATTTCCAATTATACAAAGATATACGTGTAGACGAATGAAAGTTTCAGTTGTTTACAGTATTTACTCATTGTGATATCACAAAGCGACCAGAAAGATGGTTAGATAATGTAGATAAATTAATTGTCATCTGTTTTATTACTGCAAGTCACCTGGAATGACCAAGATATGCGTCACACTTTTTAGCTATTTTCTATTTTTATATATAATTTTACCCACAACAAGAGTAAGATAGTCATATGAAACCATGGAACTGATTATTGTCGTCATTGTACATTTACTAAAAGCTTCACTACTACAGTCTTTAGAATATAATCAGAAAATCTTAGGTTATGTGACGCATAATTAATGCCAATAATACAGACCTACATTAATCATTCCTTTTATTCTGGTCTTTCTTGTTACCCCTTTTCTGTTTACATGTTCCTCCATGTACCTCGTGTTAAAGTGTTGCAATTCGAAGCACTTTACTGATATTGTCTTTTGGCGTTATAGTCATGGAGATTGAACACAAGTTCTAATTTAAAGCTTTAGCCCCCTTCATCAGTGAACGTTGTTAACAGATATCTATAAATAGAAGTCTTCTCTTCATTGTATTGTTCAATGACCATATACCCTACTTAATTGCTTACACCTGAAGTTCAAGCAGGAGTTATGTTTACTGATGTTTCAGTGTATTTAAGTTTTCAAATAAATAAGATTTTTATTCCAACTTTCTGAAAATTTTCAACATTATTCTCATTATACTTCATATACTCGATAAGTCCAATTAGTGTTTGTCTGAATTAAGCTTTTAATACATTTAAAGGAGAAGATAATCTCTGTTTTTATAGCTGATCCAGTTTCTTGAATCTTAAGCTCATCAATCGATCTATCTTTCTGTTTACTCCTTTCTAAACAAAACTGAATGGTAAATTAACTTGATTAATTCCAAATTCATATATCAGGATGTCTTCGGTTTACAATAGTGATGTGCTGTCTATACAGGAAACATCCATTAATTAATCTAAACGAAGGGGTGTATCACCTTAAATAGTGATTCATCAAGTTTTCCGACCTTAATATTTTTTTCCTATATTCACCTTCAGACTATTTCTTTAAAACTAACCATTCGGAGTTGATAAATGGTGAAAATTGTTCTAAATCCTACCTATTTATCTTTTATCTCAATCACATTTTTCTGTTCCACTATGTTGTAATTAATCTTACCCTTTCAAAATTTAGTCTATAAGTCTACTAACTGCGGAATAAACTCTATTCCTGATGGGATTTCACGACAAAAGGGTAATCTTTTGAAACCTTCATAATTTTTAGGCCTCTGCATAATCAACTACACATCGCGAGTTAGATACACACGTGTATTGATATGTAGATGGTTGACAAGGTTATACTTTGTTTCTCAATGTTACTATAATTGCATATACTGTCTATCTAGATTCAGTAAATAATAACCCACTTCAAATTATTACTTTCTGATCATTTATTGTATTGTTATTTTTCTTACAGACGTACTTCTTTGTATTATAATGCACTGAATATACTCAGCATATCATTACGGCTTGTGAATGTTGTTGATGATGGTAATAATAAACCATTTAGTGTTGAATATATCGAAACATTTGCTGATTCAAAATTAGTTAAACACCAAGTTCTACAATTACGTGCATTGGTCAATTATAGATTGGGTGATATAATTCAGGCAAATACTGACGCTAAGGTAATCCGCGAATAGTCTCATGTGGTTTATTTTTACTTATTTTTTATATATAATTATTATAATAATAAGCCATCAGAATTGTTCAGTCCTTTGTACCAATAATCTAAAAATAAAAACATAACAACAAAACAAGCTATGAAACATGTTGTTTTCAGTCTTGACGGAAATGTAGATATCAATAATATCTAGTCCGTTTATTTAAGATGATTCTGCCACTCATATATATATATATATATGGAAGAGTAAAGATTATTCTTACTAAATGAAACTATAGTAAACCATGTAGATAGATGAATCTTCTTGATGTTCGCATCTGTACTACTAGCTTTAGTGCATATAACAACAAGTTTCTAAGTCAAGGAAAATATTTAATTCAGAACATACTGAACTGGTTTCGTCAAGTAATGAGTTATATAAATGTGATTATTTACTTTTTATCGACATATACTAGAGTCGATTTACGTTTATCAAGCACTTCTAGAACATTATTCTAAACAAATTATTTATAAGATAAACGACAAGTTTAATTATTTTATTGAATGTAATAAAATTACTTTAGTGGTTGAAATATTTTGAAAATAATTTGAGCCTAACTTATAAAATACGGGTTAATGTACTTACACTCAAGGAATATTGTTTTTGTATGAGCTAGTGTTACTCGTAATCGACTGTCAAAACAGAAAGAGTGATACGTGATTAAAATATTTGAATCAAATATTATAAATTCAGTTCTCTAATCAAGAAGTAACCGCTCCATTATCTACCATTACAATATCAAATTATATATATTACATGAAAATTCTCTTCTCTGACAAATGACCTCACGAAAGTTAATTTTTTTAAATCATTCAGCCTTTTTCCAACTAATTACAGAGACTTAAAAATACAACTATTTTATAATAAATCATCGACCGACCAATGTTACACTACCATTGAATACCTGGAAGCATTGAACTGCCGTTTCGTATTACTGTGGGACTCCTCAGTAGTGCGCATCCAGGATTCTGTACGCGGATCTCAAACCCAGGACCTTCAGTATCGCGCGCAAGCATTTAACCTCTAGTCCACTAAGCCTTCATCCAAAAGTGTTACTGTCTAACTTCAGTCAGTCCACGATGTTGCACAACTATCTCCCATTGTCTTCAGTGGATAACTGTCTCACACACAACACGTTTGAACTTCACTATTCACGGCATCTCACTAGAACTCCAATACATCTCTCTTAAAGCAAGTCACTAGTGAGCATATGATAATTTTCACTTTGGGGTTGTTGAGATTGTTTAATTCTATTGAGCTCGTGAACTGATCAATGTTAGATTGAATATTTTATAAGATTTATTGTTTAAAGTAGTAAGGAAGTTTCGTCTATTATTTTTTCTCAGTACACACTATTCAGTAACAAGTTATATTTCATTGAAACGAAAATTCAAATTTCCGAAATGCATGCCAAACGTTTTGACTTCGTAATTTTTTTTTAAAAAACGATTTTTAAGTAGGAATCTATGTTCATTTAAATTAATCTCCCTAATTAACAAATTACTGATCATTTTCTTTGTTCTCTTATCTTCTTTTTCTTTTATTCTGTAACCAAATAAGTTTTGTTTGGAATTATCACCATTAGATGGCCTTTGTGCTTATATAAAAACATTGTGTGCCTTATGTACTGGATCACTGATGAGTGCAATGAAATCTTCTATTCCTGTAAGCATGACATTTTATTTCATCATCTTATTTATATCCACAATATGGTGCTTGTTTTTTCCCTAGTTCCTAACTAGAGATGTTTTGACCAATTGAATACTGTGAATGCTTTAATTTTCGGAACTATATGACGGACTATTATTATTTTCAGAATGGGTTTTGTGGAGATTTTAGAAATTTCACAGATTGTAATCATGAGTCAGTTGAAGCTAGACCACCATTGAAAACCTGGAAGCACTGGACGGCCGTTTCATCCTATTATTATTATTATCATTTTTATTGTATAAGTATTAGATATTTGAAACACCATATTCTTATATTCTCAGTATTATGAGCTACCGTCGAATCTACCAACCATTGTTATACGTTTTATTATTTCTTAATCACTCTGAACAAAGCAAGAACAAAAAATTAAGCCGAATGGCATGAATTCATTTCGTAATGTTCTCATCAGCTGCTCACAACCTATGATATTAAAAAAACCAAAACTATCGTAAAGCTCCCATACTTGTGTAGTGAGCAAGAACACCACTGCGGACAATCGAATGTATCTGAACGCGAAATTACAGAGCATTTTAATAGAATCTGAGAACCATATAGTAAATAGTTAATTTGCAAAATATCAATCCATCGTCTCAAACTTCACTGTTCCTTTTGCAAATATCAGTCCATTGTCTCAGATTTCATTGTTTATGCGTTTTCATACCAAGCGCGTTCAGTTTTCGTTCTTTCCTTATCGATATTCTGCTGAAATACATTCTATGCCTGACCACCGTTATATACTACTTGTGTGGATATAAGTAACCCACATTACACTTATAACAGTAAAAATGAATGTGTAATGAGAGTGAAAACATAAAGAGTGTTGTAAATAAATATGATATGTGAGAGAATATTCTGGATCATCAGACAGTACCAGATCATATACATAAAATAATTTACTATATAATAAAAGAGTTAAACAATCGAGAATAACCTGAGTTGAGATCAGTCAGTTACGAAATAAGTAATGCAAATCAAATAGGAGAGAGAGAAAATATTCCAAAAATGATGTAATAAACTGACGATAAAATCATCATGGTAAGGAAAGATTTACAAATGTTTCTTTTTGGATACATAAATCTGGCTTCAGTCATTTGGTGGTTATGGCTTCAGATAATACGAGAATAATAGAATCTAGTCGTTGATTGGTGATGCTGAAAGATTTCAGCTTGTCACCTTGATGCCCTGTATCACAAAGATGTGTAATAGCATTGCTAAAAGCCTTTAATCCCATTTACCTGAGATTTTTTGGGTATGCTCTTCTTTCTGTTCTACCAATGTAACCGCTTTGGCAGGCACTAAAGTACAAAGCACACCCGGGGTAGGGAAACAGTACAAGATTTTTGCTGACAAATCTGTTTAGATATCGATTATAATTTTACTTACCAATTAAATATGTTTATAGTAGATTCTACTAATCATAATTTCGTACTTTTCTTTTGTTTTCTGTATGAATTGAAACTCTAAAATTTACAAGTACACACAGATAGTCTAAAACAGTGTAGTACTTCAAAAAAGCTTGAGTCTGTTTATGTTGTTTCACGTTACACTAACATTTTTTAATAAAAAGAAGCGTGATAGAGACAAAAAGTATAGGTGTACGAATGTATAAGCTCCTGTAAAATAGAGTGACAAACTGACGGAATTACTATATTTGTAATAACATATCCATTTCGAAACCGAATCACCTACAATTTTAATGATCTACAACTGTGTTACTTCACATACTTTCCTAAATATTTCAGGGTAACAGTTGATAGTTTAATACCATGATACCAACTCCTAGTATATATATCACATGTTGCAATTAATTCAGTTCATTAAAGTTTACATTTTCACTAAAACCTATACGAAGATCAGTGGGAAACTTACAGTTTGCGTTTAAAGTAAATTTTATTTCAATTGACGTTCCTCCTATGTACTGTACACCATGACATTGCAAAAAGTGTCTTCCCTAAGTCAGTCAATTTAAATTCCGTAACATACTAAACAGTGTTTGCTTCAAAGTGTATCGAAAATATACGCTGTTGAAGACATAAGTCAGTCTCATCTGAATATTCTTAACTCGTGGTTTAGCCTTAAAAAGGTAAGAAACAACATCTGTCATTTACACTATCGTTGACGAAAAAAGAATGAAATGGGTACGTCTTTGACCCATTTTCTACGTGTTTCTTGGGCTTTTAAAATAAATACCAATTTCACACTTTTTTGTTCTTACTACTGATCTTAATTTCAGCTATTTTTGATACTAGATAGATGTAGATGGACAGGTTAACAAGAAGCTCTTGGCCTAGGTGTTGTATTCTAACCTGACACTTGACATATTACCATAACAGTAAACACTTACTGATGAGTTAATATTTTGAATAATCTCCTGTATCATTAAGATTCCTGTTCAGTAATTAAAAGCTTAATAGTAATCAATGATATTTAGTACATCCCTTAGTTCTGATAGAGTTCCATCGATCAAACTGTAATATCGTAGATAGTTTAAGTGACTCAGCACTACTATTTGATGTTAGTTATGCATTTTGGGTAATTGGTTAAAAGCTTTATATTAGTGAATTTAACATCTTCAGTTTACACTGATTCGATAACTTATTCGCTTCTATCATTAATATTTTTTTTAGGCTATCCAGTTGTTTGATAACAAAAAATCTGTATTAATTGTACCAGAGTTTAAATTAAAATTTACAATTATCATCAATGGTTCAATTAGTCTATGTCACAACTTTTAGTAGTTATTAAAAATCTAAAAAGAAATATGCAACATATTCTATACTTGTTTTAGATTTTGGAGAAAAGTTTTCAATTTTATGAATCATTTCATATTTGTATTTTATTGCACATTATTGGTTTGAATTTCTGTCTTATAATGATACTGTCTGCTGATCTTTCGAATTTTTATTATATATTCATATATATATGCTTGATTTTTAGGTTCTTTCCTACAATTTCAAACAGGATTTACAAAACTCCTCTGAGATTTTCCATCTGAAGTATCTAAGAGGTAAGATCAATAAGCATTTAATCTCCCTAACCCCACGGTTAGGTATTAGCATGTTTTTTTATTGCTTACTAACAAATACTAGTGAACGGTTGTTGTTTATTGTCCTTATAATTCTCAACACTGGTGATGATAATGATGGAGACGTAAGATAACATCAGGACTTATTTGTTCTACAAATGTATTTTAGGTGATTGGAGTTAGTTAACAAGAAACCCCAGACCTAAATATTTTGCTAGTTGACAGTCGTCAGCAAGGTGTACCAGTAATACTGAGCGTACTGATATATGTTTGGTTCTGTTCATTTCTAGTCTCGATTCTAACGTCTAAGACTAGGAAGCTGTGTTACTCAGGTTTGAATTACATAAGGTGTATCAGTTCCCTCAACATTATAGATATGCCTTTTCGACGAGTGGCAAGTAGCACAAAACCTAGGTCCTGGATTTCGTTTCAACCACCTAACATCTCAACATAGTGCACGTAATTTCGCTTTACTCTGACTAGTGGTCACATTGAAACTTTATTGATAAAGTTCTATCAGCACTAAAGGACCAGACAAACGTAACATTGGATACTACTCAGTGATTATTCACTCGTAAACAGATATATCTTTTATAAAAATTTCCGTGAACCGAGAAACTCACGTTTCACATTCATCTACCCATATTCGTTTAAACCTGAGGGATTTACCAAATTTTTTTGTCGTCCATCACATTTTTACTGTATAATTTGTGACTTGAGTGACAGTGATATGCAATTATACATCTTTTAATTTTTGTCTTAAATACAATGGTGCAAACTATTTGGCAAAATAACCCATAAACCAAGTTTATTGTTCTGTAATTTAAGTCTTCGCTCACCACCTTTCTGTTTTATACTTCCATCTGTTTTAACCTAGGATGTCTTTATTTATGTTCATTAAAATTTCAACCTATAGAACATCTGTTTTCTATGTTGAGATCTATCATGTATCCTGGACCCATTAAAGTCATATATAGTTTCATGCTCGAATAGTAAGTGAATACAAGTATGTGTATATGCTAATCAAGTAGAAATATAATTATTTTAACTTCCTAATAAAGATAAAAGAACGATTTCCACCCTAGCATATTACTCTTAGCATTGACCATATAAACAAGATAATTATTCGATTTGTAGGGTTTATTTTGTCGTTTAGATCAATAAAATTAATCAAACCTTAATGTTACATATTGTTAAATAAATTAATGGTCAGTAGACTTGTTGTTTGATTCACCAGATCATTATTGTCTGGCCTGATTTGTTGATCAGTATTTATGTTTTTAATAGTAATATGTGACTCATTCACGACACAGATCTTATACAAATTGTTACTGAATACGAATTTTTACCTAAACAACGGAGAAGGACTAATTTATGTTTAAACTCAATGACTTGTGTTTTCCATACACAGTGTACAAATTGTATCGTATGTTACATTACCCGTACTTGCAGTTTCTCATATCTGTTTCTTGTTCATAGAAGAAAAATATTGACTAGTATTTTGTATCATTTGACAAACGTACTGAACAGCTGATAAGAAGTAGCTTTTTCTAAATTGATTATATGAAGAACAATAACTTAAAGATGCCACAGGTATTCGGAGTTTAACGACGCCTTTACACGTAACATCTTTATAATTGAAGTATACCAACACAGTCAAATAAAGGGGTTTAAAAGTATATTTGGAAAGCTATTGATATGTCGAGAAGCGTTTGATCTAAGCTGGCTAGTAGTTTCAAGGGATGCGTAGTACGGTCTACCTGCTGATGATCTGATTTGGATGCGTGACCGAGCACCTTCAACTAGGATGTGTCCTGTAGAACTAATGAGGTCAGCATCAATATGGAAGACTTACAGAATTATTTATTTCGGGGATTTATTTACCGCTACAAACTAGCAGAATAATATGCTTATAACGTAAAACCATTGTAGGATATTTGAAACAATCCTATCGTATATTTACTTTTCAAAGTATTTTATGCACAAAAAAACTATATAAGATTAACCAAACAATGTGGTTATTGATTCGTCTTAGATTTCATACCAAATATGTAATCAGATTATTCTATGTGCGTTATGCGCAAATATGTCACTAGGTGTTAAGGCTACCTGACTTGATCCACATATAGTCCAGTTTCTACGTTGGTTGTGACTGACTGATCAAAATCACACTACATTTTTACCTTCGTATGGTATGTTTGAAAAAGCACATAATTTTATCAGGCTTTTAAGTGAAAACAATGTCCAAACAAAAGCTAACATCCACCGATATAGGTTGATCGAAAGTAACAGAATTTAAAAAATATATCGATTATTGTAAAAACCATATAGTTCACATCACGAAATGACATTAGTTAGACAACTATTAAAAACTGGGAAGCACTAGATAGCTTTTTGTTCCTGTATGGTACTCCATGTTAGGACGCATATACGACCTCTCCAGGAATTAAGCCCTAGGCCTTCAGGCCTCGTAGCGAGCATTTTACATTCAGGCCATTGAGCCAGCTTCTGACTTCAATGAATTCACGGTATTGTTCAATAATCTTCCAGTGCCTATGGTGGGTAACTTCCTTATATCCTATATAATCGAACTCCACTGATCACGGCTTATTACTAGAACTCCGAGAATTTGTGGATAACATTTTCTAATTGAAATCAACTTTATTCTAGTTCAGAATTTTCGTTCATATATATAAAATCATTGACAGTCACTAAATTGTTTTTTTCCCTATCACTACGCTTTGCTAACAAAAAAACCAATTAATTGTTGCAAGAATTTGCATTTTTCATTTGATCACCTTATTTTGGCATGAATATTCCTTAAGTGTGTGCTTCGATATTGCTTTTATTTATAAAATGATTATATCTTAAATCCTGGCTAACAATTGAGCCTGTTAATCTAGCTAGCGGTGCACTGGTATTCTGAGTCTTAGCTGACTATTCCTGAACAGGGAGAAACAATCTTGCTGATTTCCAATGTCATCCATCATCCAAAATATAAAATTAACTAAAGCTGAGTTTAAACATCATATTGTAAGAATAATAATGTATAAAAGTTAAGGTGTTTATCTGTCTTATTGAAGATAAATGTATCAAAAATATGAATTTGCTATAACACAATCAGTTCCACACATTTTTCTTGGTTACTGTTGTTCATTCAACTAAGTTACTTGACTTTTCTGTTGGACTCCCACTTTTCCATATTAGGGAACTTGAAAACTTATGGTCAATATATTTTAGTACATAAATTGATTGTCAGTACAGTTTATTTTGAAGAAATAACTTAAAATACAAACTTAATCAATCTAAAATGCTCATTTCTGTTCATATGAGTGTAACACTTTCACACAATAGCTTTGGAATAATAATAATCTTCTAGAATGATAAATGTTTATTATTATTATTACTATTGGAGTTTTACTCATCACATGTAATCGATAGTTGTAAATTATATACCCAAACAACTAATTCTACATGCAGTAATCTATTTAAAAATAATCACAAATGTGTAGTATCTTCACTTTTTAATCAATCGGAAATGACGAAAAATCACTTAATCTGTCAATCTTCGTTATACAGGAAATTAAGTTTTGTAAAAATGTTTTCCTGTTTAATAAATCTTAATACAATCTTCTCAACTTCCTTTTGATTTTAAACTAGAATGGATCCGATATACGCACAATCATTTATATCAACCGTTAAATGAATTTCATTGGTTAATTGATCTTCCAGAAGTGTTTGTTCATGGATGGGTTAAAGGTGTGCCAACAGAGACAGTTGTAAGTGGAAATGAACATTTTGTCAATCTAAAACAGAACAGTACAGCCATTAGTTTATATTATTTAAAATGAAATATATTTTCTACGACTTCTCGTTATTTTTTTTTAAAGTGCATTTGTGAGCATCAATAAAACTGTGTACAGCTATGTTCAAAGTAAGAAGTATATTAAGAATAATTGGTTCTAAGTGGAAATTAAAACTAGTATTAAATCCATACTCTTCCAATTGATAATAAATACGACACTCATTGGATAAGTAAACTAGTGTCGTTACTCAATAGTCTTGTTGTTTGACGCCCTAATATTTGAAGAGATCATTACTGAGTTCAGGTCTTAATATGAACATCTGACTAGTCCTAAATACGATAAAACACTTTCTAGATTTCAATTATATTCACTACTTAAAGTATAAGATTAAACTGTTTTTAGTTAGTCAAGTTAAAATTCTAACATCTTTAGAGTATTACCAATGGTAAAAATTTGGACTATCGAGAAAATCTAGACAGTACAATTTTAAATATCATGATATAGCGGATGTTTACAACTGAAGCCTTAAATAGATATTGTTTATATAATAAAATTTCATTGATGTATAATAAATTTAAATAAACAGTCTAGTACCCAACCCTATTTCACACACTTCAAACTAGTATAACAAGCGGAAAGTAAGACAAGATGAAATAATAACGTTGTAGAATTCTAAATATGGAAATTACGGTCTGAAACAGCAATGGAATAAAAAACCAAACTTCCTAGAATATTGATGGTTTAGTCACCTCGAATTTTCCAGATAAATCAATAAATCGATTATATTTACATTCCTTGACCTTAGGGTGGCGTTTGACTCCCTTGATCTTGGAGTTCTGTGGCAGTATCTGTTATTGAAAGGCGTTCCAAAGAAGTACCCGCTTGCGTCACTTGTGACGTAGATGAGGTATCTGTCTTTCAACCAAAGGACGAGTTTATTGAGCATCAGTTTGCTCCGTTCTGCCTTATGGATGTGAAGCATGGCCATTAAGAGCAGAAGATATTAGCAGGTTGCTGGTATTCGATCATATGTTTCTACGAACCATCGCTTGTATATTTTGGGACTACAGAGTAAACAATCCCTCGGTTAGGAATAGAGCACTAGGTAAAGATGGGGAATCGATCGATTGGGCAGTAAATCTTCATCGGCTGAGGTGGTTCGGACATATATTGCGTATACCCGACCACCATCTACCTCGACGAGCGAAGTTCTGTAGTGCAGGAGTAGGCTGGGAGAAAGCTAAGGGAGAGCAGACCAAAACATGGCATCAGTCCATAAAGTCACTGACAGTTGAACTGAGGCATGCTAAGAGGTGTAGAATACCTGGTTGGCGTCCGCGTGATTATCGCAACCAATGGTTAGAGACTTTGAGTGATGTGGCTGGAAATGGTTTGCGATGGCACAGGTTCATCCATTTTTTATCTTCCTCCAAATTCTACGATTTTAAAATCCTCATAATCTTCTGTTCGTTTTATTTCACCTAATCATACTATATTTTCGAGTTGTATCTATGATCCCTAATCTTTCGTATTATAACTGATTCTGTTACTGCCTCTACTATTCTGGGATTCAGCCTGATAATTTCATCTCTCTGTGCTAATGGAGTATGGCAACTTGAACCAAAGTACATACGTACCACTTTCTGCGTTGTGACTAACTGACTGACATTCATAACCCCATGAGGGGTCAAACCCAGGGCTTTCATATCTCGTGAAATAATCAACGAGACATAGACCACTAGTTACTGGTTCAGCGTTTGGGACTTAGTCGCTTGCCTCTAGACATAAAGGCCCTAGGTATTTGTGATAGTGTTTGATAGTTTAATTATCGCCAATCATATCATGATGATAACTTTTGCATTGAACTGTCATTATCATTGTTCATTTCATTGATCTTTTATCGTTTGTAAATTTAATTGTAGGAATCTCAAATTACCCAGCCGGGTATCATATCGACTACTTCTAAGTGAGTATTGTTTATTTACTGATAATGTAAATGCATTGTCGTGTATTTTTAAATGAAAATAATTTTAACTACAATAGTTGTTTGCAATAATGCTGTTCCGTTAGATGAACAAGTTTGTTACATTGGTAAGTTGTTTCGTCCGAGTAATTACCTTTATACTGTAGGAATAACGGATTTACCCTAAAAATCTATAGCTTGCAACTCCTCCTTTTATTACTGTAGGATACTTTTTTAATAATAGACGAAAGTTGATAACCACTGATTGCTGTTAGAAGCGTTTAAACGGCGTCACGTAATTTTCTCTCGAGCTTTGATGTCAAGAAATACCAATCGACCTACTTTCTTAGGACTTAGCGTAAATAGGGATAAAACATCTTTTGATTTCATACCTTGAGCGGCATATTAATTCCACCTGTTCCCTATTTCTAACAGTTTCCTTGAATTCTTCTTGCCAACAATTTTAACCTTTAAAATACCACTCCTAGCCTCCTGATATCATTACATCACATGAATGATGGTTTTTTAGAGTTCTAACGCTCTGTCAAGTAGGTCAAAGAGCCTTTTAGGCTAAGAAATGTGACACCATTGGACACGTATATCGTATTCCTAATACATTAAGATACATTTTTCTCCACTCAACCTGTTGTAGTCATGTAACAATTATTTCAACTGCACCTATTCATCTTGTTATTTTAGACCTTAGAAGGAATATTTTTTTAATGAAGGTTGTAACTACTCCTATCATTCGGTAATGCTAAAAAGCATGAAACAATCGTCGTACCTTTTATTATTTCTTCCAAAAATATATGTGACGATAAAATCTCTTCAGATTATAGCCGTTATTGGTAGTATTTATAAACTGTAAGATATTGTTCATTCTCACTTAATTCACTGTTTTTAACTGTCTATATTGTTTAAAAATAGCCTTGTCATGTCACCAGATCTTATGAAAATGATATTAAATGATAATTCAAGTCAATTTTCAAATCAATCAACTAATGGTATAGAATGCAATCAGAAATCATTTATATTAACTAGTCAACCTGTTTATTGTCAAAAGATTTATTTAATTCAATTAAAAAATTATCTGTGTAATTTATCAAATCAAATTGGTGTATTAATTTCATATGGGGATTTAAGAAGTAATCAGGCTGTTAACTCAATTGTTACCAATCCTCGTCATCAATTAGCACTAGCTATCGGAACTATATATAGTGCGGAATTAATTCGTGTAGGTTCTCTCTCTTCTTTCGCTTAATCCATGTTTTCTAATAGTTGTGTCATATTGTACGTTTGATGGTTTTATGGAGAGTTTTGTATATTTTAGATGTAATTTGTTTTTATCGTAAATAAGGATCAGTTTAGAAAGTTTTATAATCAAAGAACGCTGAACAGTTGTTTAATTGAATTCTAATTTGATACTCCAAAAGTATCATGTTCGTCTCTAGATCTTGAGTTCCGAATCAGATTTTGTGTAGAGTCATAAGTGTGCACTACTGAAGAGTTTCAGATTGAAATGAAACAAGTGTTATATCCTATGTAGTATCAATCGAATTTTCATCTGCTGTCAGCTCGTGACAGAAATTATCTTTAAGTTTGCTTATTTTATTTAATATGTATAACTGCCGAACGAAGTGCCTCCCGCTTCAAACGCTAACTGATTATCTATCGAGCTACTTAGTATGAATAGTCACTAACTTGTTTAATAGGTACGAACATATCAATGTTGGTTTGTTGTTTACCGTCTTTGATGTTAAGAACTGTAACTAATCAGCCCGTGATCTCCAGATTAGAAATGTCAACAAATCACAACTTGATATTATTTCACAACGGTGACAAATCAGGTCTTTAATCTACACTAACATATTGCTAAATTCGGTCATCGACAGCTACAACAGTCAAGGAAAAAATGCTTATTAGAAAATTATTGTTTGACAATACTTAATTTCCACATAAAATTTACTGTTGCTAAATGAAGAAAAGATAAGTCTTTGTAAAACAACTTTTACCGTTTTAAGAAGAAACTAAAACAGAAGAAAACTGACGTTTGCAGGTCAATAGCAAAGCCAATTATAACGCCCTGTTGTACGGAGTATTGACTACTTACGCCCTAGCAGATGATGATAGAGACTGAAAATTTTCAAATGTAGTTACAATTAAAATCTAATAAGAGGAATACTCGTTAAATACATAACGTGCATTTTGGATGAGATAATTGTGAAAGCAAGTTTCTGTTTTTCTTCTCTTATGGGTGGACTAGTAACCTTCAGGAAATGGAAATGTTTTCTAGGACAAGAAGTAGGTTTCGACCAGATCTTCCTCCAGAACGATTGTTTCGATCTTTCTCCGACATATTTTTTGTAGTACAGAATGTAATATTTTGAAGCACTGTCTCTACGTGTTTTGAACCAATGGATCTGATTTTACTTGTTTAAATCCTTTTATTACAAATATTGATATCATCGCAAAAACTTTCGTCATGTAAGCAGAACTTTCTTCTGAAACCAACCTCTAGTAAACTCTAATATTTCACTTCAAGTAGATGGTTTGAAAGTAAGTACATAATGAATACCCATTAGTTCATCTTTATCGTTTGTTCTTATCATCTTTTTCAACAGAATTCATGGTGTCGTCAACGTCGTGTATCTTTTAATACATGTTGGGCATATCCACAAGATATTCAATATTACCAACAAAAATCATTTACAAAATTTCCATTTTTTAGTAAAAATTATATGAACCAACTGGTGAATAATTGTAATTCACTATTCTCATCATTCAATAATTACAATAAAAATACAACTTTCCAACCAATAAATTATTTATTATTTAAACGTTTATGTAAATTAATAAAACAACAAAATATTGAAAAAACTTATTCTCCCGATTGGTTTGTACATGCAAGTATTACAGCTAGACTTTTACAATTAACTGATCCTTATGAAAAGTTAGTATTTTGGAAAATATATGAATCTGATAAATATAATATTTATGCAAATAATCATAGACAACATTCATTAAATTCTTATAATGATGAAGATGATGAAGATTCAAATGGACCAATGCCTTCACATTCTTATCATTCTTCTTCATATTATGTAAATAAAGAAAAAAATCATTGTATGTTTATTCTTTCATGTGAAGTAATTCTTTATTGAGTTTTATTTTCAAATAATGATTGTATTATAACTTTCTTTAAGCAACAATCGAGTTGTGATAATCACCTATGAGTAATTCATATTATTCAATAATTTAAATGGTATTACTAAATATTTTGAATATTCGCCACAAGTCTAATGTCGAAACCATAATATTCAGTAAATAAATAACTATGAAAATAGACCTCATTTGGTTAAAGCTTTCACATGTATAAATATGTGGTATTACGAAAAAAAATATTGGGATTGATTGTTTCTAGTTACACAATACTACTTACTCAATGTTAGAAAAAGATATTTCATCTGAAACTGTTGTTTACTCACTATAGAAGCTCATATGAATTTATACATAATGATAATCAAAATAGGTTAAAACATTAACAATCTTTAAACTACTATTTAAGAGGTTGATAATTCGACCCTAGGTTTTTTAAGCATGCTTTTAAACCTTTTCTGTTTTTACTTCTGATAGTAATAATGTTATGTCCTACCACTGACCAATACACGTAGATGACCTTCATTAACCGATACGCAACAACGACGAAGAGGACGGATGCTCTATTCTTGACGATTGTCCCATAACTAATTAGTCCCGAACGGAGGGGAGGAACACATGGTCAGTGATCACCAGCCCAAGATCGTTATTACATTTCAGGCATTTATTTATATGCATACATGACCAGACCACAGTAAACCAATGGAGCAACAGTATTAACATGTAGCAACAATATTAATGATGAGAAAAACGGATTACAGAGTACACAAATAACCGGTTATAGTTTATGAGTGCGAAATACTATAGCAACAAGTTAGGGTTCAGATAAAAGCTTAGAACTAGGGTAATGCTAAAATACTTATTAAACATGCAATCAGTATGTATAAATGAGATGGTGGAAAAATAGCTTCGAAAGTTAAGTCGTCTCGTATAATAAATAACGATAATACCAACCAGTATTGTTGTATTTATTACTGGGTGTATATAATACTTTTTGCTTGACTGTGCAAATAAGTCTTTGTAATTAGTATAATACACCCTAAGTGTTCTGTATCATACTGTTATTTGTATTCTGCTGATTTTGTCACTACATTAATGGGAGCTTATTATTGGATCACTTTGTATGATTCAAATAATGTATTTAGTATCACAATAAAGAAGGTATTAGACAAAAACACTGATCCACAACAATTTTCACGGTACTATGCATTAAGTGAGATATGAATCTTCATTGTTCTATATATATGTCAAGCATCTTTGTACGTTACAGAAGTTCACAAGTAATATGTTGTACTGTGTATTTCTCCTTCCCATTTCTTTGTAAGGGAGTTCAATCAGTCTAAAGATCATACTAGTTATCACTTCAGATCAAATTTGCCTACATAGTCTCTCTTCATTCCAAAAGAATATTCAGGGTTCACTTTACGCCTAATCATTTGACTGCCAGTTCAAATCCTCATTCTACATATTTTAGTTCAGATAACCGGGTATTATCGTTAGTTTCCAGGCAAAATATGTAACATAAAATTAAACACTTAAACCTTCACTCGCCAAACAATCGCATTAATTTTAAATTTAATAAGACTATTATCATTTCATTAGTTCATTAATCACCAAGTTCCAAACTAAAAAAGTTTCCTTATTTCAGAAAAATAAATTCTTTTTAATAATACCTTACAGTTGGACAACAAAACAATCATTGGGAAAACGGTGTAGTATGGGATGAAAAATTTTTCATAAAAAATGGACAAATTTATAATGAATATATCAAGTACTTACAACAGTCTTTCAACATGATCTTACTATTGATCAAAGAACAACTGTAAGTGATTCCGCTTGATCCGTAAATTTTGGGGTGTAATTTTAAATAATGGATTTTTTTCAAAAAGGTTTTATTGGATTCTGTAAATAGTAAATGCTGATAAAAATATTTTCAGTGTGTATTTTGTGTCAACTAACAATTACTCACCTGAAATACAACTATTAGGAAATAATACCCCTTTTTTTTAGTCTCCACTGAATCGCTATCTAGTTAAGACGCAATGAATACTTATTTAGTTCATTCTCATTTTCTGTTTTTTTCTTTTTATTCCGCCTCCTTTTTTGTATTACTCTGTTCTCCTTTTTTCACATCCATTAACCCGTTTCATTTCTAATAATTTTTGGGCATCTAGTGTGACGTTTATCTGTTGTTATATAATATATTTGAAAAATGACATAAGCTGATAATATCCAGTTTGTTTGTCATTTTAGTCACAACTTTTCGATACGTGCAATATATATTTTCTGTTCTGGCATTTCTGTTCAACGTTTGTTTTATTGTAATAGCCTCTATATTTTTGTGATCTCCGTTCTCATTTTGATACAAATATTTGCTGTCACATATTGTATATTGCTATAACTAATTCTGTGTATCCACTTTAAAGAAGCACTCTGTTGTGAACATACTTATTCAATACTGTAGATACCCCGAAAGTTAAGGTTTGTATTTTGATGCTGTTACGTCCTTGATCTGTCTACCCACTACTATACCTAGAATAGCTTGTCTAAATCTAGATGAAGACCTTGACGCGTAAACTGGCTGGCTTAACCTTGAGGCTAGTATGCATGAGTTCGAAGTGAAACTAACTACTCGGGGTAGAGACGGAAACTGTTCTATCACCTGATTGGCTAACAAGCTTATGGTCTGTAGAATTAACTAGATACGAAAATAAACGTTGCTCTACTGACTTGTGGACTAGACTTCTATGTCAAAGGTTAGAAGAGTGCTTCCCTACGAAGACAACCCGCTTCGGTTGGGGCGCCCGAGCAGTATCCTAGCCCTTACACAAGTCGAATTACGAAGTGCGGCACATATATGTTCGGTGCCTCCTTGTACCAATGTTTATATGTTTAAACAAATAGGTACTAACCAACTATAAAAGTAGACACCCATGACATTTTTTGATAGTAATTGTTTGTCTGACATACTTTTTCGACCCTTTAGTTACCCAATATGTAACTGCAGCGGGCTTCTGACAGTATATTTCATACATTCCAGTCTCAACCATTTTTTCACGATGGAGGGTATTTATCTGAACTGTTTCAGTCATGTCGGTCACAACAGTATTTTCAGTTTGATTATATCATAGTTCAAGTTGATTCTTGCCATATTTTGCCTCTGATGTAAAAGTCTTACTTCATAGTCCAGTACACTATTCCTATTTGTTTGTCTTGAAACAACTAGACTAATTTATCTAGTTAGGTTTTTTTTTCCTTGCACAAATGAGTGCCTGTATCCTAAGTTTCTATAAACCAAAATGAATTTTAACTGTTCAGATGATGAGTTCATTGTTAAGTTGTCTCTAAAGCTAGACACCGTTAGGTGTTTCATATGTTTTATAGGTTGATTCTGAATAAGCAATCAATAAAATGTCAAATTGTTTAATTTCTACAGAACATTTGATTGCGGTTGAATTATTGATATGATAGTAATTACTATTATGGAGGTATATATTTTCGAATTTATGTGAAGCTTAAGCCTCATATACAGTCAACTATTGAAAAACCATATTGCGAGATTTTCATTCCGTGTGTTGAGCAAACATATTATTTATCTCACTCATCACACTAACTTCATTGATTAAATTCAATCATTCTCAAAAACCGTACAACAGAACAATAATGACTTGCTACTTTCTACAGAAATGAATACATTTCATAGTTTAGGCGTAATGACTATTGGAGCCCAGGAAACACCAAACAGCTATTTTGGCCTAGCATGGGAATCTACACAACTGTGTATCCACGACCCAACCTGGAACCGAACCCATTACCTCCATTTAGTAGTTTATTTGCAGGTCATCTACTTTGTTTTCTCCTACTTCATATCAACATTACGAATATATTTCTTTCTCCACTAATTGTTTATCAACCTTTATTATCGACTTAGACTACCAATGGTCTACGTGTTTTTTCTGTCAATAATGAACGGGTTTATCTATCTTCCTTTACTTTCTTTGTAAAAGTAATTCTTATCATGGTTTGTCTTCAACTTTAGAACGGCTGAAAACTAGGGAGCATTAGATAGATGTTTACCTTAGTTTGAGTGTTTTCACCATTATTCACCCATAACTACACCAGGAATAAAACTCATGACTTTAAGCCTGATAATAATCATAACGTCTTCTTACCACCTTGTTCATCAGCCCGTGCTTTTAAATTCAATCATCTCATGATATATCATGATCATTATTCAATCTCATCGGTGATGACTGTATAACAGGTCAGGGCTTCTCATTAGAACTCCGGAAATTCCATCTTGAAGTGATGTGATGTTAAGTGATGTGATTTTAATTGGTATGGGAGGTTTTTGTCGGTTTCATACTTTGAAAATAACTTTTCTCATTTCTCTTCGTCACTTTACCGAACTAACTGCTGAATTTCAAGAAGCATTGAACAACTTTTTATTTCATTCCATTCTGTACCAAAAAATTAAATATATACAATCACTAAATTATATAGAATGTTCATATACTGTATTTCTTTGTTTTTTTCCTCAGTCAACATCATTCCGAACACTTGAATGTGGATGAGAATAATTTTGAGGTAACCTTTTTGTTAGTATTTATATTATCGTTACTTTTAAATGAATAGCTATTACTTTTCCATTTTCCGTATCAAAACTAAAAAGCTACTTCTATAGATCTGTTTTTCCATTGAATAATACCATATCTTACATCCAAACTCATTGTTAATTAATAGGCAAATCTAGCTAGTTCTCTAGAAATCCTTGCTACTGAATCTTGGACATTTGTATTCAAGATTTCAATGTAGTAGTTCAAATATATTTCCAAATTGAGCACTAGACACCATCTATCATTACACTAAGTTATCGTTATCAGTTATTTGTAGTTGGGCCAGATGAACCATTTAATATAAAAATCGGATTCTCTGGGGGTAACGTTTCTGTCTCTGATTTCCTCAAATACTTCAAAAGTTCACAACTCAAGGAATATCAACCATGAGTTCGACTGCAAAATTGAAAACTTTAAATTTAATTTTTTTGGAAGGCACACCCGATAAATTTGATGTTAGTGAGTCGTGATTAGTTGATGAGTGAAGATAGATATATCCGGTTATCCCAGATGTGTTGGATTGACTTGTTCGTGAATTTTTCTTCATTGTGAATTGTACTTTGGATTCGCTGCGTAATGACTTCTTGTACTTGTTTTAATAAACTGTCGTCTGAACCCTATATGGTTACAAATCCTTTGGTCGGATATTTAGTGTGTGAGTCATATGTCTAGGAATCTGTTGCGTTCACTACACTGACACAGTATCAAGTCTTATTATCTGGTATCAAGTGCGGGATCAAAAAAATTTTCTATCCAATCCACACCAATGTTGAATATCTGAATACAGAGCAATGACGGGTCTGATTATTTGGATAGTCTTACATTGTTTTGTTTAGATCACAACCACGTTTTGATCAGGACTAATTCCTCGGACCATTAGTACTTATGATCCCCATCTAGTCCTTCATTTCATATTCAAATCTCTAAATCCAAAATGCTGCTTTAGATTTGATCTATTTTAGTAATTAAATGAACTATAAGTAGTAAGATAGTTGAGAGCGTTGACTACTTTACTTATCGTAGAAGCTTCACTAGTCCTGGCAAGTTGCAGTCTGACGAAATCTCGGTACGGAATCAGAAAGCTCGGTTGACGTTTTACCTAGTTGCATTACATATAGCTTATGTGAGATCTCCGTTTTTCAAACAAAGGGAATATATGCTACTTACCAGTCAGTTACTATTTACTTTATGACTGTTTTACATACCCCACCTAAGTAGATTTGCATAGACTTTAGGTTTTCACTCATAAGTGTCTTTGAAGCAGTGCTCACATATCGCAAAACGACTGAGAGAGCAATGTTGAGGTTAGGCATTTGATATTAGGCAAGGTAGTACGTCGGTTGATAAAATTGTAAATCTTCATCGATCGAGGTGGTTAGGACATGCTGTTATACATTCCTAACCATTATCTACCTCAACCGACAATGTTTGCTGATGTAGAGACCGGTTGCAAACAAGCTAGGGACTATGACAAGACATGTCAACAGTCCATAAAGCGATCACTGATTGGAAATGTCGAGTGAGAACTGATCACGGTAAAGTAGGTAAATTCATTCTTTATCCTCCCCTACATATTGAGTTTGTATTCGTTTATACATACATTTACATTGTCTTTTCGAACTATATTCCTAATATTCAGTCTTTCTCAGTATCATTGGTACCACATTATTTCGGTTTATTTTGCTACTCACCTTATTATTTTCATTTCGTCATACCAATATGGTATGGCAACTTGGGCTGATGTATACCCGTACCTGACTCTACGTCAGTGGTGGTACTTACTGATATATGATAGGTATATAACACCTTTTTCTGACATGTCTGTGTACATTCTGGTCATGCTCTAGAATTAGTCCGATTTTTCACAACTTATTAACACTCGTAGTTTATGTTGGTGTACATTGACTGTAAGTCTCTTCAAAGATTAATTCCAAAGCCCAAGTTATCATTGTGATCAGGCAGAAAGATCTACCTAATATTTAACTCATTTGGGTGTAAGTATACACATACTTGAAATACAGGTGAAGAATTACATATTATTTCCTCTAATAAACCAATTTTACATTACAATAAGTAATATTTGTTTTTTTTTATGTATATCTAATTGTATTTCTTCATGCGCATTTTAAATAACACTATCCATACATATACCTTTGAACAGAAATAGTTGTTTTCCCTGATGATTTCATATTGATATTATTCTAACTTCTACACTCTTATTGGTATTTTCTTATAGAGTCGTTTTAATAGTAATCACAGTTATCACATTTAGATGATTAATACAGAATTACTTTCCATCTGAACACACCCCATACTTTACGATGATAAAACTATCCACTTGTGTACCTGTTTGAACTTCTACATTGATCCTCATCTATCTGAAATAATCGTCTTAAACACAACAACTAGAGTTTTGAAATTCCAATGACTGGTAAGCAACTAATCCTCTTGCATCACTCAATGAGATGGGTTCTGTTATTCATAATTGTCCATAAGTCACGTAAAAATCAAAGTTGGGATAATTGATAGTTTACTTATTTCGTTCTCTCCATTAATTGCACAAATTAACTTTTTTTCGAAGAATATGTGGTTTATTTTTCTTATCCGTACACAATTACTGATTTCGTTTGTTTTTTATTTGTTATCCTTCAGGTTAATTACCTGCTTATGGCATACGAATTTGATCGATGTTATTCTGATTATAACAATCATTTACTCAATCAAACTGTGCAACATTGTTTGAAACCTACATTCGATAAATTATGGCACTACGCACAGTTAGCACATTTAACTGATGATAAACTCCAAGTTTTTATGAACATTTATGTTCCAGGAACTATGAATCCGAAGGATGATGGGATACTATTAATGCCATTATCACCCCAGTCTAGGCCTATTAAACGCCATTTAGGTGTTGTCTTGAAGTTTGTAAAGCACATGTAAGTTGTTTAGTAGTTTTATACAATGATCTCGTATTTATTTTACTTTGGTTTTATTTGTTAGATCTTCGATCGTATTTTTTTTACCTGACAAACTCGATAACCACCGTCAAGTCCACCCTTTTTTTAGTTAGTAATCCTTGAGTGTCACCAATATCTTAGTTGGTGAAATTAATTTCCTATCATTATGTCAACGAACATTTCAAAACTGAGATGTCAGTAAAATGTCAAACTACTACCATTAACATATAAATAGTATATCCACCTTTGGTGTTTCATTAAAACATATATTTCAACTGTTCTGTGTTTTATTTCGAAATACCCAATGTGTTCATAATGTAACGTTTACAAATGCTTTCACATATGACTAGTATTACTTTTTCTAGATTTAATTTAATTTGGTTATTTTCCTAATAATTATCAATTCAAGTTTAACAGTTTGTTACGCTTTAGTTTACTATTCAATTAAATTAAATCAACAGTAGCAGTTATATTCAATTTGTTGTGGTTCAACGTTAGATGCATTAACTAGACTTCAACTCTCCTTACAATGAAATTCACTATATGAATTATTAAACAGACAAAAATTTGCAATGTGGTAGGTAGTGTGACTACCATCACTCAGTTACCTCGGTCTTTTTCTTGCTGTTTGATTGGTCAAGCGATAACTTAGTGGTTAAAATGTTCGGCTTTCAGCCACTAGATCCGAGGTTCGAATTTTGCTTAGGTTTGAGCAACTGGCTAGTATAATTGGTTTTCACATTTAGAATGTAGCTCATACCTAAGTACTTGGTGAATGAGTCAAATATGTTATTAGTGTTATTCAACAAACAATGTACATTGAAGATGTAAACGAACGATAAAATATAACGAATTATTATTCTTCCTTTGTTTGTACTCATTTTTCCACTAAATATTACTTATATTAGTATTATATTTTTACTTATAATGAAGAGCTTGTGAACATGATAATCTAGTGGCATCCATGATCCAACATCTACTATCGATTTTAACTAAAAAAGTATTTTTAGAAATCTGTAAAACTGGTAAAGCTATTGGCTAAATAAACAGGCTTTAAAACATTCTCGACTAATATCGACAGATTAGATTTCATCAGTATTTGAACATTGTCCATTACGACATCATGACATTACAACACTTTGTCGATCAAATAACTAATTATTACCACTGTTATCCGAGTACTTGAAGACACTGAAACTGGTAAATCTTTGATTATAATGCAGTAATGTAATTTATGTACTTAGTACAGATTTATATAGTCGCCTTTGAGCTGCACTGTTTTTGCAAGTACTAGTGGTATTATCTGACTTTCCAAACTGAAGTAAGTATAGCGGGATTCAAAGTTTGAGACCTATTGGCTGAAAGTCATTTGCTTTAATCAATAAGTCACTTCTCTGCTTTGATGTTATATCTAATGATAAACACTGCGACAAAACTCTTGGTTTATGAAGTCGAGTGCCTCCCGGAGAACAAGAAATACAACTGTAATCGGGCTTCAGTATGTCTATGTTCCACAACCTGACGAAGGATTAATATTTGATCAATATATTCACACCCAGGTCCGAAATCAGTCTAGCTTCTCCCAGTTCCTTGTCTACAAGCTCCAAAAAAGCATAGGATAATTACAGAGAGTAATGTTATAAAATAGATTAATCAAAGTGATTCCACTGTAGTTATGAAAATGGCAGTTCAATATTTTATTTGAGACTGAGATGACTAGGGATTGAGACCAGCTCCCAAACTCCAGCTAATTTTTCAGTTAACTGAATTATCAAAATTGGATCATGGTCCATAAAGACATCTGAGTTTAACCTATCTGATCCTTCTGCTCTCCTTTTGCTTCATGTTATATCTTATCAACGTAGATAAGATTTAGGTGAAGAAGATTTGTAGCTGAGGTGGATGATTTTGTGGAGTTTTGTTCTCTGAGCTGGATGGTTTGGTCGCGGAGCTTTCATCGTTCTTCTGAACGACATCATCAGCACAAACTTCAGATAGAAGTGAAGTGTTCGAATGTCTATATTTTACACTGGTTGATAGAACATCCTGGCGAAGACACTCATAGAGAACACTTCACTTCTATCTGAAGTTTGTGCTGATGATGTCGTTCAGAAGAACGATGAAAGCTCCACGACCAAACCATCCAGCTCAGAGAACAAAACTCCACCAAGATTTAGGTGACTTGTGACATCTCATCTAGGTTGTTTGGGGAGTGTGGATATCTAGTGAGAATCTGGAAGGTAGTCGAACTGTTTCTCAGGTTATATTACCCGTCGTTTCAATCTGCTGATCTGAAAGTGGACCACAATTTCGTCCTTTTCAGAAGTAGTCTCACCACCAGCTGACTTTTTAATACCCGTCTTTGATGAGTTTAGACAGGTTTCCACTGCCCTCTCCTCTTTTAAAACTTTTTCGATTTCTTTCCCTATCACTACTTATGACTATAGTTTAGAGGTTCTGTCGATATACGTTCAAGATTTTCTCGCCCCTCATCACCCTCTAATCTCCGATCAGCCATCAATTTAACAGAAGTTTCTGATATCTCCTGGCGTTTTCTAAGTTGTTGATTGTTGTATTTACAGGTGGTGGAATATCATGCTTAGCTTCTTCGATGTTAGCTTTTCGTTCATAACCAACTAAATGCCTTAATAATTCTTCTTCAAACTACATCCTTGATATTTAATAACTACGAAGTATTAAATCATTTATTCAGTATGGGTTTATAATGTTGCTTAGAATTTACTCCTGTACAATCATTTGTTTTTACATATCTTTTAAATTTAGTTCAAAAACATTTTAAGTTTCAAACATAAACAATGATCATATATTCAGATGTCACTCCAAGCACTGATAAAAACCCTATTAAAATCAATTCTGAACTTCATTTACATTATTTATTGATGAATGATTAATTCTTTTGAATTCCATACTATGTTAATAGTTTCGAATTATTAAACTTATTAACTAATGTATCTATGTACACACGACTATAGTTTCATTTGTTGAGGTGGTGTTTATCACACTGCCATCAATTGAAATATCATTGACATTGGATACTACTACCCGGTGATAAGTTAACGTAAATCATCAGTGTAAAGTGTGATCGATAAACGAACCCACCAATGATAAGGTGAAACACCCACCACCACATTAACTTTATTTGACCTTGTATAACTATGTCTTGTTTACTCACCAATTACAATTTTAGTTTATTATAAAACAATATTCACCTTGTTGACTCTTTTCCTATCGTATAGTTACTGCTCGGTATGTTATTTATGTCCTTCCTTTTTTCCTGTTTAATACTGTACTAATATTGTACTAACGGTGTTAATTTATGTTTTAGAAACAGGAAAAGTTTATCAAGCCAAATAGCTTACTTGTTCTGACTTTGGCTAAACTAAGACTTTGTGCTCGACAGTCTAAAGAGTAATTACAATTGATTGATCACTGGGTGGTGATCAATGTCTTGCTTGTCTAGTCCTTATTAGTGCAGATCGAATGCTATCGATCATGTTGCAATGTGGCCACCAGTCTAGGTGACTCGACACTGCGGGCACTATGTATTGAGATTTAGATGGTGGTTGGAGGTAGTCAACAGGAAACCCTGGACCCGGGTTTCGTGCTATTTGGCACTCGTCAGAAAGGTGTACCTGTAATCTTGAGGGAACTGGTGCTCCCTGGCGGATTCGATCTCGTGTCACCCAGCTTCACAGTCTGACTGTGAAGTTGAGTCTAAAGAGTAGCTTAGAATTACACCTGTAGGAAATTACTTCCTACAATCAGTGTTATTTGCCAGGATATAACAAACTGGGCTGATACTTTACTGAACAAGTCTAAGTTGCACCATTGGTAATAGGAGTTTGGATTATTCCGTAGCTTATATTTGGAACTAAATTCTAATCAGTCTTTTTTAACTGATCTTCATAACTTAAACCTTTTCTACTAATGATGTAAACGTCATACCCGTTGATAAAGTTAGTGGCTATCTGGACTCAGTGGATAATATGTTGGGCGTTTGAAGCAAAAGGTACTGAGTTCATGTCTCATTGGGGACATCGAGTCAACACTGGGATGGTGGTGCATTCAGCTCATAAGTCCCAAATAGAACGAAACGCACACCTTGGATTCAAATATCAATTACAATCCATCTTTTATAAACTTATGTTACTGTTTCACACCGTTTATCGCGGATTCTGTATATCTCCGTTTATTTTACTTTTCAAATTAAAACAGTAAATTTTGGTAATACTTCTATTATAATTACAATTATCTTTTATTTTCTATTATTATTATTATTATTAAATTCCAGTACAGATGAAAATTATTCGTTATCGCTTCTGTATATTTCTAGTCCACAACATCATACTGAATTAATCAGTGAACTGGATTCAGCTTTTAAAAACTATCTATTGCATGGTGAAAAAGCTTTAACTGATATTTTAGCTAGTACGTTTCCGGATTTTTGTTCTAAACCTTATCATTTTTCGAGTTTGATTTTCTCTTCTCTTTAAAAACAAACTTAGATAATCGCGCAAATCTACATCGATTCATATTTTCATAAATTTAGTAGCACAGATCGATAGAAATGATGAGACAATGTATGGCTAACTGCTGAAGACTCAATTCAGTAATTTTACATCTCATTATATAATTCATAGCAATAGTTAAGAAATTTTCAGCTTCTCATGGATCTGAGAGCTCCTATTGCGAACATTACATTCGATTACTACCAGCTATTCCTGAAATCCTGCTAGCAAAACCAAACTTAGGAATAACTGTTCTGTTATCGTCACGACGTATGACATTTGCTATAAGCTAACGATGTTACAATTAATATTCTTCACTGGTATAAAAATGGTAATTACTTTATAGATTATTGACGTCTTTTGTATGACATAGAATAATTTTCATCGATTATATAATTTTTCAACCTTTTGATACGGGAGGATAATCATAATCACAAATTGTCCTAATTTCTTTGGGTTCCACTATAGTTCACTAAGTCCATGATAGTCCATCAGAGCATGACGCAACAGTCATTCATGAATATCGTTATTACAATGGTCACCAAACTAATATTTATTACCCACAGAACGTATTTTTCCTATATAAAAATTGGCAATTACATTACGACAAATCCAAAAGCTTTTTAAACCTACTATGTCATAGGACTACTGACTAACTTTCAATAAGTGTTTATACTTTATTTTAGCTTAATAATGATTATAATGAATGTTTTAAAAGTGTTTTGGTCAACATTTAATAGATTTAGTTCGTCTACACAAACTTAACAAGCATTCGATTTTTTCGTTTCCTTGTACATTTGTTAAATAGACTCTAGTGTCAAAGGAAAGGTATTTGATTCATCGTCATTTAGTCATAAAGAACGTTTACAAAATGCAATACAAAGCACATTTGACTGGCTGTATTATTGGAGTATATTAAAACCTATTTCATCTGAATACAGTTTTGTAATTGGTTATAGTATGACATTGGGTATGCTGCGCGCCCTCGGTCTAGAACCAGTTGCTGCTTTACCAAAACATGGAGTCAATTTGGAACTAGAGTCAATATTTATTGGTTCACCTACAGAATTTGGTAATCTATGTCGGGAAGTGCTAGGCCTAGTAGAGTAAGTTTCTTTGGAAAAATATGTCTGAATAATGTCTATTTAGATAATAATGGTTTTTAATAAGGCAGACGCGAATATGAGCTTCGTGCCTCAGACCTACTAGTGGATATAATTATAAATAAATTATTGTTATTTGATTTACGAGATACCAATCCAAAACAGTCTAGTTTTCATCATTGTACTGCTTTCTTTTCTCTAACTAGTACGCCAATTGTGTTTTTGCTATGCACAATCTACTCTCAATCCTTCCAAGTTAGTCACTCTTCTTGTTTGATACAAATGTATAGCTGTTTGCGGTATGCGAATAATACTGAATGTTTTATTTCCTTTACGGAAATTTCAGTCATTTCCAAACCCTGTTTTTACCAGCAAATGACAGTTGTTCGTTGTTTTCACTATGCAGCTAGGTTCATACTACTAAGGGTAAATATTAAAAATAAACATTTTATTATGGGTAAGATTGATAGGAGGGATAAAATGTTTAAGGGTGTGAAATTTATCCGATTTACTCTCTATCCTTTTGCTTCTACAACCAATCAGAAACAGTTTTCTGAATGTCTAATGAAGAGTCTAGTCCCAGCAACTGTTTACGGAAATGCAATGTGTCAGAATTTTAAATTTTTCCGCCCCTTAGAATTTGGCTTATTTGATTAGTTATGTTTCTATTTTCTCTTTAAATGGCCTAACCAATAAGATTACTATTAACATGGTGATTCAACTGAAACTTAATGTCATCCACCTGAGCTACAAATCTTCTCCACCATCTCAGAAATAATAAATGTAATGTGGTAAATTATCGTACACTATACATTTGTGATAGAATTTTTACTTATCAACGTTGAAAAAGCTTGGACCAGACTACCAGGCGAAACGTTGAATTTACTTCAAAATTCATTCACTGAGTCTTTACAAATACATTCTTTCTCTTTAATGTAGTAATAATGAGTTAAGTAATTGTTTAATGATATATTATATTTTCAAAAAAACAAAAACAAGTGAGATTGTTTTTTCAATAAATGATCTGTTAAAATGAAGAGTTCAATACTAGGACGAAATGGCCCTCCAGGTTTTCCATGGTGATTTAGCTTCAATTGACTCATGAACTCAACTATTAAAATACTATAATATCCAAAAATATCCCTTCCTGATAATATAGAGAATACATAAAGAACTAGATGAAAATGATCAATATAATTAATTAGATAGTCGCGCTGCTGATGTATGAAGAAATTTCTTGAAATCATTAGACTACAGCGAAACGAGTTAAGTACATTAAGTATTATTTGTATTTCAATAAACCAATCAGTGAAAATTTTTTAAGAAGTAATGCATGTATTGAACTATGTCAGAAACATTTTGGGAATATTAAAGATTCCCATTGTGAAAATTAGAATAACACATATAAGCGAACAATTGTTTTCAATTAGATCGTCATCAGGCTTTACTCTAATATACATGAATATTTATACGAAAATGTAAACCAATCAAAGCAATATGGGTCAATAATCACAATGAAATAGAATAAGTCTCTACACATAATAGGTAAAAGTACAAGTTTGTAGTAGGAAGACAGGTGAACTGATAATAGTAAGAATAATAAAATACGATAACAAAAGTCTTATCAATAGTTAAACGTTGGAAATAGAGGGTCAAACGTGGGTAAATGGACTTGAAATAGTCATCACAAGACATTAAAACCATTACGTAATAAGAAGTGTGTAAATAACTAAATAGTGAAGAATAAAAAGAGACGGAAAATTACAAACAAGTAATGGATGTAGAAATAAGGTTAATGATAACAAAATAGAATAAAATAAATGATAATAAAAAAAAATTTAAAAATTCGTTAGTTAAGTGATAACTGGCCATGGAAGGGATAGGGGGGTTACGTATTTCTTCTGTACACATAAATTGGGGTTATATGTACGAATTCCAATGGCTTCTCTGAGCTCAGAGAACAAAACTCCACCAAAATCATCCACCTGAGCCACAAATCTTCTCCACCATCTCCAATGGCTTCAGCTATATGTAGGAGGCGAGAACGAACTCCGTTGAGAAATGATAGAGGTATACGACAGATAACTCGAAATGATTTCGATTTATCTACAGCATGACCGCTATCAATGAGATGTACCAAGATAGAACTGCGAATAGATTTTATCTGGCTCTTCATGTATCAAGTTGGTAGATGTTCACTCATTCATTGGTTAAATTGCCTATATAGCTATCTCCACAGGAGCAGCTGAATTTGTAAATGCACATAGAAGAGGCCAACTCAGGTAACTTATCCTTCGTTTGAGTAGACATTGCTGGTCGACAAGAGAAGGTCAACGCAAGATTGGCTGTGTAGAAGTCTTCGCGATTACTTTAGTTAACCTATATTTCAGAGTGTCACTAGCCACATCCCCGTTGAATTGCACTTTTATGTATAAAGGTTTCTTACGAACAGTCGAAATCTCTGACTTCTTTATTATGTCATACATGTACTTCTTAATGAAAGCACTGGGGTAGCCGATCTCGGTCAGTGAGTTGTTGATAAATTCAAGCTCCTGACTTAGAGTATCTACTGCACAGATCTTTTTTTCTCTGCTAGTGAGACATCTGACCAAATTTCTTTTGTAACGGATTCGTGTGAAACTGCAGAAGTGAGTATATTGGCATGAAGAGGGGTTTCTTCTATACACGCTTCTACTTAATATGCCGTCACTTCGTCTGCTTAGTGTGACGTCAAGGAAGTTTAGCTTCTTATCATGCTCGCCTTCACCAGTGAAAGTGATCACTTGATGAACACTGTTAAATTGTTCTAGGAGTTTCTCCTTACTGGTGTTTTGATCTACGATAATGAATGTGTCGTCAATTTAGCGGCAATATAAATCAAGTTTCTTAATAGTCTCATTGAGAGGTCCATTTTCTAGCTTTGTTAGGAAGAGATCAGCTAAATTCGGGCCTAGAGCCGAGCCCATGGCTATCCCGTCTATTTGTCTATAATGAGTATTGTTGAAGACAAAATGTACATTCAGCATGCATCTTAAGAGCAGTCCCTTTAGACTATCGTTAGGCAAGCCAATGTTGATTTGTTTTTCTGATATTTGCTTGCATATAAACTCAATAGTCTCTATAAGTGATACGTTGGTGAACAAAGATCCTACATCCAATGAGATCATATTTTTCATAATAACATCAATATTTTCCACTTTGGAGGTGAAGTTGAAGACATCTTTTACACTATTTTTAACAACTGATTTGTGTAAAGGATCTAAGATTCGTACTAGCCACTTTGCAATTTTGTGGTAGGGAGAATTGTACATATCTAGAACTAGGCGTAGAGGAAGACCCGGTTTATGTACTTTAGGCAAACCATACAGTCATGGTGTAAATGATCCAGTCGGCTTAATTGAATCGTGAATCTCGGTTGTAATTATTCCCTTTTTCTTTAGATCTTTAAGGAAATTGGTCAGTTGTCTTTCTACTTTATTATTGATATCACAATTACTAGTAATTTTCTGAAATTTGCTAGGATCGCTAAGCATTGTTTCCATTTTTCTCATGTAATCATTTTTGTTCATGAGAACTACACTTCCTCCTTTATCTGGTTTGGTTATGGTCAGGGTTTCATCTTGTTGGAAATAGTAACAACAAGCTTTTAAAAGGACGGTGATTTCTTTTCGTGTTAAAATTGGTAAATTTTAATAAATTTCTACTACAACGGCTCCCAATGAGTTGATATTGCAATCAAAATGAACTGTTATATAGGAGTTTGCAAATCATATATATATATAAATCTTAACAAGCTGTAGCTGAATGTTAAAGTGAGATGATACTAATGATTTTCCTGATAACAATCGGAAATAGGTCAACTTGTAACCGAACATTACTAATCATTAATAAATAAATACTTTGTGTAAATTATCAGTATAGGTTTGTTGGTTTGTGTAAAGGTGACTACAGTGAACTGAATGCTAATTATCATGTAGGTCAACTTCATCTTTTTTATACTACTAATGAAATGGAATTCTAAACAGTAATTAGTCCTGAACGATAATGAACTAAAGTTTATTGATTTTAGTCGTTAATTTAACATAATGATAGTTATTATCAATAATAAGCTTATTTTCGATTCCATTAATATTGCATCTACCATTACAAAGCGTACCGATTTTTTGCGAGTGGACTTCACCAGAGTTAATCAGTGAAAATGATTGCCCTGAACATCGTCGCCTAACCCTACTTGATCAATACCGATGGACATTACATCAACCAGAATCTATTATTTTTACTAACGGTCACGTAAAACATATTTAAACCAGGTCGACATGTGACTTATTACGCAGTTTTTCTACTTTTTTCTACTTACATTTTATCACGGTTTCACTGCTAAAGGCATTTTAACTATAGGAAGTATATAAACAACAACAGTAATTTATAGGTTGGACTTGACAGTTTCAAATAAATTGAGCATTGAGTAGAAAATCAATAATAAGTATTTTTTTCTTCTTATATCTCCGTGAGTGGAAAAGTGGTATTTCTAACGTACTATTTAAATTTGTGTTAATTTAATTGAGTTGTTTATTTACTCTGAAGAAATGCAATTCTTCTACTCATTAGGATATAACAAAAAGTGTATGTACTATTGACAGTAATTCATATATAATTTCAATAGTTGATATCATGAGTCAGTTGAAGCTAGACCACCATGAACAAGATAATAACGATAATGAACTTACTTCCTTCGTCTAATCGGCCGTGAGGATCCGCTTGGTATTCTACGGCCATTTCTCCAACATACAATATACGGCTTCTGATCCCTATAGAAATGAGAATCTCGCACCGCATAATGTCACCCTTTCATAAGTTCTGATGACGCTCTTTAACGCTTCAAGTGATTGGAACGCTACCAGATACAATGTGTTCGAGAACATGTTATTTGTTTCCGTGACAACGTGAGAAATGACAGAACTTGTACTTTGCACGTTACTATCGTCCACAATTCAAAGAAAAGTTGCTCTGTCGACAAGTACTTACATTTTATATCAGTTTTAAGAAATAAATAACCAATTATAACGAATTTAAAACTAGTTATTTAATTGGACGGAACTGAATGAAAAAAAATTGAGAAATGGGATGAAACAAAGTTAATTTTTTAAAAAATGTACTTGAACCGCCGTGCGTTTAATAATATTCTGTAAATACTGTAATTTTTCGAATTTAGCATCAATTTGTTCTTCCCATTTACTCAGTAATATTATCTCGTACGTCTATATTGAATAGCTAGGGGATAATCTATTTAGAGGGATATTTGTATGTTGGATCGTCAACGGAATAAGTATTTTAACATTTTCTACATCTGGATATCCGGAATTGTTAGGGCAGTGTCCTTATTAGTATTCTGAAGGGACATTTAAGACCTCGCCACCTTTGTTTAGTCAGCTGTACACAATTCATACTATGATATTAGGTATGATTTTACTATTAGTTTACATTCTAATGAATGATAAAAGTAGGAGTTCGTATATACACCTATTATAATTGACTTCGAACATTCGGAATTATCGGTATTTCGACAAGGGTATCCGAAGGCAGTAAAACAAGGTTGCTTATTTCATCTGAGCAAGTGTGTTTGGTGGAAACTTGAACAACGTTACATAACAGACCAAAATTTGGCTGCTCAGATTCGTCATTTGACAGTGTTAGCCTTCGTACCAGCCGCAGATATCAAAGCTTCATTTTTTAGTCCAATGGAATCACCATTCTGCATAGAGAGTGAAGAAAAATCAAAGAGTTAGCAAACCATTTTGAAAACACCTGAATTGAGAGGCCGTCGAGACATTGAGACCGTGGCATACCAACTTTTCAAACTACCCTGTGGAACGTCTGTAATTCCATTATGGGAGACCCGCCTAAATGAGTAACATGGTAGAGGAGTGGCATATGAAAACTCATGGGTGCTCTAAAAAGGTACCGAGGTTAAATGAATTGAAAATTGAACAGTTTGTTGCATGGATACAGCAACAGTACATATAAAGAAAGTATAAGGAGGTGGTCGCAGTACGTATCCAAACTAGTCATAGGAGATTACTAGAACAGATTTACAATAGACTGATCACGTGGATTTTCACTTGAATTTTCACATTTAGATACGTTCAACTATGTTAAAACACAACTTAAAATGAATGTCAAATTCACACCTATATTAAATTGATGAATACCCTATTTGATGCTCTGTTTTAATTTAAGGAATTTGATCAGTTAAAATATTGGTAGGATTTTATTATATCAATAATTCACAATTCTGGGTTGAATGGTGTTCAACGTGATGGGTTGGGGTCCAAATTTAAAATGTTTATACCGCTTCCAGTTTTCTTACTCCCTAACTTCTCAAACCTAGAGTACCAAGATATTTGAAACGATAAAATTTCTTTTCGTGGTGAATGAAATGTGAAAAGATCTATTAAACTCAAGAACAAAGTTGTTCATTGAGTTAAACTCCTACAACAGAGTAGTCGCGATCATTTTAGTGTAGTAAATAGTTGGTAATTATAATCTTGCGACATAATTTCTACTTGAAAATGTAGTATGGATAGATTAGTTTTTAAAAGAGAAGTGACTTATAAGTAGAAACAGATAAATTCTATTTGCATCCTTTGAAAGCTTCGCTTGAACTGTTAGCGAAATTGCAATCTACATCGAAATACATAATGGACTTGCAAAAGTTCCTGGTATACTGAACTGTAACCAAGTAATCCATTCTCCTGACCAGCTTATGAGGAAAAGATTCTGACAAAGATTGTTATTGAGAAAGAATCAAAGACAATTCAACGAGAACTTTGTTTTCGACGACGTTATTTCTACAAACTTTGCAGTTGTATTTATTGTAATTTAACAGATAAAGTAGTCTGTCGAAGAATATGGGTAGTACATATCTTCAGAGGTCAAAATAAGGTTGCATAGTGTTCGAGAAGTAAGAGTAAAACGACAAGATAAAAACACATGTGCGAAAGATAACTGTCCTCTTAACAAGTATGAAGATAATAATAACAAATGAATGAAAACCAAAAACATTAGAAAAAAGTATCAATAACCAATTTACTGTGTATGAAAAATACGTTGTTAGAGTCATGGTGTGATGACATCTTAGACGTGACGCTTTACATACATAGTTCAGGTTTGAAACGATGAACTGCCTCTGCAGCAAACTTAACTTTATGATGTTATATTAGTGTAATTAGATTTTTAATTTAAGCCAACTGATTAAAATACACTGTTTAGACGATTTTGATTGTTAAGTATAAATTTGGGTTCTATTTTAACTGGAATAAATGATACTCTGATGTATTTAAATGCTTTGCAATCATATGTTACTTAGTAATAATAATTGCACCAGACCCGCCTAATAAGTTCCACCAGTTCATCTAATCAATATTGAATAAAACCTAGTCATTCGACTCTTACTATCACATACGTCAGTAATGTACAGAACATAAGTTCATTTAGTTTTTCTGGAGAGCGTAAAAAATAGTGTTTTCGGAAATACATTTAATGATGAATTTCGTGTATGAACTATTTGGTTTCAAAATTAAGGGATGGTTTTAACCGTTGAAACTCATTCAATGTGAAATTTACCCAACATTTGTAAGCATTTTCGAAACATTTCTCTAAATAGATTATCATCTATCTGTTCGAAATAAACGTATGATCTAATAAAACTGGAGAAATGAGAGTAACAAATTGTTACTGAATTCGAAAATTTACAGTATTTTTTTGGACTAGACTCTTCACTAGATGTTCAGAAAACTAGGTTTTTGATTAGTAGTAGAGGCAAATAGACAGAGGGTAAATCGATTAGACATCACCTTTAAACATTTTATTCCCCTTTTCAATGTTCTTAATTAATATGAGCCATTTTAATGGTCGCCCTTCTTAATGCTTTCCCTTTTCGACTCTCACTTTCACCCTCACTCTTTAGAATGAATACTATGTAGTTGTAGTTATATATGTCAATTATATTTCATTCATTTACTGCTACATCGTTTCTTGTGTTTCTTCTAAATTTAAAGTCAATTAATTGAAAGTGTACAGCAATGAATGGCATCTAATTTTTGTGTTTATTATTATAGATCTACATTTGTTCATAGGAAATGCATTGCCGTTGTGTTATTTGTTCCAGAACAAAGCATGAGTACTTTATGCATCAGTGATCTTGTATATCATCACTGAACACATGAACTTGGTTCGCACTTTTTCCTCGGTTGCTTACAGCTATCTACAATCAATAATAGTGTGTTGTACTCTTTAGTCACTGTGATTATCGGCTAATTTTGAAACTTACTCAAGTAAACTCCTCCAACAACATAATTGTTTCTATCCAGTGACCAATTGTGTAAATTAAACATTTCTATGGTTTTCATACGCTTCTGAGGCTATTTTCTCGTGCAATAGGCCAAAAACCCGACATAACTTAAATATTTAGTTATAACTTACACTAGCACGTAGTGATTTGTATTATTATTTCATTTCATAGGTTACCAAAATCAAGTATTTCGTTATCTTGGAAAGTTTCTCCGGAAGAAATTATCCAGAGTCCAAAACATGTTTTAGAATTTATGAATTTACAGTTAGTATCTGATTGTGTTAAATAAAAAAATTTGATGCAAAATATTAATTACTTTACTTTTTCACCGAATCGTATTTTTGTATTCTTTATCACAAAGTGCAAAAATAACTACCAGTTCCTACATTGTGGACTTTCGGTAGGTAGTTCATATATCCAAAAGTGACTTTAAGAAAAATTAAAAGAAATCTAAATGGAATCATTCAAGTAATGATTAAACATCTGTACTTTACACATGAAGGCAGGGGAGATAGTCCTGCGAGTGACTATCCGTAACATAGTGATGGATTTGATATAATAACAACATCTCAAAACCTCATAAAAAGGCGTATTAGTCTAATATTACACCAACGGGTTCCCCACAAAACAGTGAAGAATACTGTGTAGTAAATGAAATGGTACTATCAAAATGTCCATGGTTATCACTATTACAAATATTTCTTATAAGGAAGTGTATAGGGAATCGAACAACAATGCTAGTTCATTCCTCCCCTGTTGCAAACACACTATCTTTCTGATCATATAGTCAACTCAGAGCCATATTTCAGTTTCATCCCTGAGGTTCTTAGGTTATCTCCGTAGAGCTAATGACAGTCCCAATGCATCAATTGCTGCTTCTTCTAACTACTCGGCTTTCATAAGAACATTTTGTATTGAGGATTGTTATGTCCTATGATCCGTCGAATATCTTATGACGAAATTAATAATCAGAATACTGACTACTATGTGCTAAATCAATAATATTTTAACCATCACGAGCAACCTTCAATCAACTCCTAGTCCATATTGGTCTTTTGTACAGTAGCTTCTCGCCTAATGCACTAAGTTCAGTCCAGAACACAAATGCTAACCTCCCCTATGTAAATCGTATATTTCAGACATACATGGTTTATATGCAAGCAGACCGAACGACATTATACAAAATAAAAAATAATAATTGTACGAGACCAAGCCAAATGTGGATGTGAGTATGGGGTACTGTAAAGGATAAATTGGGAATGAGTTAACAATAATAAGTCGTATAACAGTAGCCAAAAGGTCAAATGAAAGATTATGATGATATATATAATCTAGTTACTGCATCTAGTCAGAATATATGTGATATTTAAATAAAGCCAGAACAAATATTGATGCAGAATAATATCAATTCATAATATTTCGTGGTTTCTCGTCAGCTACTTACAATCAAATATGCATTAGAATTTTACATAGAGATAAGAAATAGTATGGGACAATTAACATAAGTGAATGTAAAGAGATCTAATTGCATGAAATATATGTGATAAGAGTTAATAAATAATTCCTAGCAGTTACCATTCGTTTATTCTTTTTTGTGATATAAAAAGGATTACAGTCTAAATGCTACAATATTTTATCGACCAATTGACGTTTTGCTTACCTTTTCAACTGCAACATACATCCTTGTGGTGTTTGTATGAACTAATGAATCGTTTGTACTTGATGTCTACCCGATTTCGAATTCCAAATGCAATCTGTTCGTTTGCTCTTTTTGGTCTAAATTGCGTTATTTCGGGGATTCCTAGTTCGTATAATAATTCAGATATTTCTAATTATCACGTTAGCGCCTCCATGGAACCTGTAATGGAACATTCGGACATACATTCAAATTTTTGTGCTTGTAGTGTCAGTTATTATGCCAAGCCCATATGCCTTATTCTAACTTTCGGACAACCTATTTTATTCATTTTACTTAAGCCATATTTTGACCTTGTCAATTATTCGCTTGTCAGTCTTGATTGTTTTTATATGAGCGTATATGTGTGTGCCCTTCTTATCCTATTAATCATATGTCTGTAGCTTTATTTTGTCTGACTATAAATATGGAGTAGCTCTCGACTAAAAATGGAGTTGACTTCCCAGCGCATCATTTTGCTCTGTTCTATCACATTCGCTTTACATACGAAATATATGTATTCAACATCCCATTCTCGTTATTTGACTTATTTAATTCCGTTATTGGTTAACGTGATTTAAGTCGACGATTATATACGAGTATAGGCGATAGCAATCATTTATACGATCTAAATTGGAGACAGATCCACGGGCCACTAAATGCTTTTAAGGAATATATAGAAAGATTATAAAGCTGGAGTATAGCCAAGAAAGATGTTTAGAACGTCAGCATTGTGGTTTATTTCCTCACATCCATCGGAAAGGAAGCCTACAACTCCTTAAAATATTTGGCATTTCCAGAAAAGTCTGTAAAGGTAAATAAACCCCCGAAATCAGTAGCTCTGTAAGTCTTTGACATTTGATAGGGACCACATTAGCTTCGAAGGACTCACCTAGTTGAAGGCGCTCGGTCACGCATCAGCACCAGATCACTAGTGAGCTCTTGTGGTGTTTGAATTGACTAATGATACTTGTGTACATGTTGATTGCACAATTTCGAATTCCAAATACAGTACATTCGTTTGTGCCTGTCTTCTTAATTCAATTGCGTTATTTCTGGGACTCTTAGTTCGTGCTATAATTCCAATAAGTCGAAATACAGTACTGACGTCTTGATGGAACCTGCAATGGAAAAGTTGGACATTCATTCAACTTCGGAAGCATTTGAGGATTATTTCGAAAGGTTCGAAATCTGGGTCATGACCAAGGAAGATGATGAGGATATTAATATTGTGGCATATTTCCTCACATTCATCGGTAAAGAAGCATACAGTTTATTAAGAACGCTGGCTATGCCGGAAAAACCCATTTCGCTTCCTTATACAACTCTCAAGGCATTACTACTAGACCATGTCAGGTATGCAAATTTTGATTGCAGTAAAGAAGGGGAATTTCCTAAAATGATTCATCAGGACATTAAAAGTTCTACTACATCACGTTATCCTAATCCAGTGCATATTCAAGGTTATGCAAATAATTCATTGCGGAGTTGCAGTGCGTTTCAAGAAGATGGGCACAAGTTTGGTCAGTGTTTGTCCTGTGGCAAGTTCCATGCTTTTAATTCATGTAAATTTCGTAATTCTAAATGCTTTAAATGTGATGATATTGGATATATTCAGTCAGTCTGCAATACTAATGTTCATGTTATTGCAACTAATATTAAGTCTTGTAATTCTGATTCTACTGAGTCGAGTATTTATAATGATGATTTATCTTTATCAACTATTGCAATAGACAGTGAAGAGTCAAAAAGCAGTTCAGAGTTAAATGAAATCCAGAATTCTTGTGAGACAACAGTTCCTAATCAACCGATTTATCAGAATTCTCATGCTATTGTACCAGGTATGACTTTTCCTAATGATTCACATATTTCTGATGAAATTTCTTACAAATCTGAAGAAAATATGTTAAATGAACCTATTCATTATCAAAAACCTGAGGCAGTCATGATAGATGCTAATTTTTCTAATGATCCATTGCTCTGCAATGACATTCTTAGTCAATTTCATGAAAATATTTCAGTAGAATCAAATCCTGATGTCATATGTATTACCTATCCTCATAATGCTTTTGCTCCTTGTGAAAAACTTGTTCAATGCAAAGCACGAATACTAAATGAGCTCGGTTTTGATTACAATTCTGATTATTTCATATCAACTGTTGTTCATCCTTATCACAAAAACACTTCTAATGTTTACTCTAATCACTGTGAGAAATATGTTTTAAATGAAGCCACATTATTCATAACTTGGGAATATAAAGACCCAACATTATTTCGTGGGGGGGGATAGCGTTGAAAAATCTATGGTTCCAATTCGAGATATGAATCATTTCAGTACAAAACCGATATGTTGATTGTATACAATTCCAGGTGAGTCTGTTCCGATTTCGTTTGTTAATTCCCATACTAATGAGCACATTCTAGATACTACAAAGTTTTCATCCAGTACAATGTCGGACAGACTCAGGATGAACTTAACAAGAAAACGTACAACCGATTGCAAACACTTATACTTCTATTTAAGCTGTGGCGGATGTGGTGTTTGAATTGACTAATGATACTTGTGTACATGTTGATTGCACAACTTCGAAATCCAAATACAGTACATTCGTTTGTGCCTGTCTTCTTAATTCAATTGCGTTATTTCTGGGACTCTTAGTTCGTACTATAATTCCAATAAGTCGAAATACAGTAGCTCTCTGGCCAGCCACTTCTCGTTATATTGATAATTTATGAAATATATCTTCGGACCTATTCTCTTCTGACTTTTGAGTTCACTGGGTAGGTACGTTTTGATTACAGAAGCTTTTACTGGTAAAAGTGTTGTCGAACTCCAAATACTTGTGGCATCTTCAGTGAGAAGCCCAAAGTTATCCAATACACCAACTCATAAATTGTGAGTCTGTTCCCTCACGGAACTTCATATATCATTTCATTTCTTCGTTTTTTTACAAATTGTGATTTTTTTTCTCGTATTTTTGAATATTTTCCCCACGTTCATTCTTATACTTTAAATACGTCATGACTGGACAGATTCCTAAGTTACTTAAAATCAAGAGTCTTATACCACCCCTATTCCAGCTAGTGCCATTCTGACCTGACTTTCGCGAGCACGGCGTGACCTATCCATGTGCACAATTACTCGTAGTAGTGAAAGCACTACCGCGCGAATTCAATAGGTACGTCACACCTAGTGTGTTTATTAGTGATGTTTCGAAAATTCATGAACGCGGAGATCTAATCTATCGAAAATTTTTAGATCAACTCCTAAATAACATTGATCTTCAGCACTGTTCAGCAACGGACATGTTAGGAAAGAAAGAGTTAATCAGACAAAGGACCTTGGACGATGGCCTGTTTGAACATCTTTTCTTGACTAAGCCTCCTCAAAAGGTGAAAATAGTGCTTACTTGTATCAAAACAACTTTTAAGACGAGCTGACTGTGTCTTACAATAGTATTTTAGAGATCGCTAAAACTTCTAACCCCGAGATTTTTTTCAGTCAAACAAAAACTTCAAACGACACAGAATGGTGCTTTGGAATTATCTCCTACTCGAACAGGTCATGACAGTAAAAGATCACAAACCCTCGAAGATCTTCACAAAATGATTTGTCCCTAGATTATGGGAAATA